AAAACTAACCTCAGATTATTGGTATATTTTATATACAGCACTGTGTGTGTCTGTTTTCCTCAGCATAGAATGACACTGAGTAAATTCATGTAGTTGAGGCAACGACTGAGGGAAACTGAAAATTTAGGGAACTTATTAGTAATTAATAAGTATCAAATAATTCTGCAGGAATTACTTAGAACCTGGAACAGTATTCTAAAGTGACAATACAGGGAACCCATTAGTAATTAATAAAGAATTATCAAATTATTATCTAGGAATTAGGCTACTTATAACCTAAAACAGTCTTCTAAAGTAAAAATATAAGGAACTTATTTGTAATTAATAAATAATTATTAGATAGTCCTTCAGGAATTACTTAGAACCTGAAACAGTATTCTAAAGTGACAATACAGGGAATCCATTAGTAATTAATGAAGAATTACCACATACTTCTGACTCAATTCAAACTTACTGTAAAAAAATATATATATACATATAGCCTATATATATATTAACGTAATCATCTAAAGTAAACCTTTGTAAAATACACGACAGTGACTTGTTTACATGATGTCTTCCTTTATTTCAGATGAGAACATTTTTTAATACAGCAAAATTTTTATTTCGTTTTAACATGTATAATACTGTTTACATTTAAACTCATTTAACAAACATTTTAGAATAAAAAAAAAGTACTTGACTCCATAACCTGCCCATAACAGTGCACAGCTCTGGGAACAGATGTTAACATCTGATGTAAATAGATTTAGCTAGCTATAGGGTAACTGACATCGTGTCCTTGTATGTTGCCTTGCATAAAACAAATGATTTACAGCACAGTAATGATTTTATGGATTAAATAAATCTGTATTTGGCTAAAGAAATGCACCAAATCCCCGGCGCTGAGAACTCTCCAGAGGAGGATGCAAATGCCCGCGCTCTTGCGTCACCAAATCACTGTCGAGTCAAGTCAAGTTACCTTTATTTATATAGCGCTTTTTACAATACAAATTGTTTCAAAGCAGCTTCACAGTGATAACAGGAAAACAATGTTGTAATAGTATTGTTAAATTCAAAATTAAATGTTAAATGTCCCCAACTAAGCAAGCCAAAAGCCAATGGCGACAAAGGCGAAGAGAAGTGAAAAAGGCAACAGAGGCAAGGAACCAAAACTCCATCAGGGACAGAATGGAGGAAAACCCCTCGGGAGAACCCAGGCTCAGTGTATGTGGCGACCGCCATATTGCCCGAACTTGAATGGTGCAAACGAAGTTTAAAATGTATAAGAACTAAGTATAATAATAAGGTGTAATATACATGAGATGTTTTTGATTATTTGCAGATCATAGCCTATAGGTAAATGTCTGCACTTATCTTTCTTATTAGTGCTGAAGAATGACAAACTGACTACTGTATATGACTGTTAATTAGTAGTTACTTCATAGTTATTTTTCTTGAACCTTAATTAATAGATAATTAATAGTAGTTCTTCAGGAGGTATGACAGAATTCATTAGCTAACTGATACTTAACACAATCATAAAATTATATTACATACTGATTAGTTAACACATCTTCATTAGTAGTTAACAGTAGTGACTTAAGTGTTAATAAAGAATTACCTATTAGTCCTTCATTAATTCCTTATTAGATATGTAGTAAGTAAGATACAGTATTCTAAAGTCTGAACAAACTGTCTCTAAATTGTTTGCTGCCTATTGCCAAATTTTTCATATATTCTGAAAATGTCCAGTTTTGTTAACTTTGTGTTCACAAGATGTCGAGTTAACCAGTCCTGGCCATGTCAGATTTCTGTGGTGTATATCCATAACTGGACATTTGGGCTGGGAAACCATAATACTGGGTATTAAAGGGTTAAAGACAATACAGTCTTCACTCCAATTATCATGTTTGATGCCACTGCTAAAACACTGAACCCCGTTATCTGAACCTAATTCTCAATAGTCTAAACCAATTTGTCAAATAAATCACTCTTTCTGTAAAACATTAAACAAGTTCAGGTGTTAAAACACTGTTTGCTAATCTCATGCACTCTTTTTCAAAACTCTACACACATTCTCACTAAAACACATTTCTCACTGTGATGCACTTGTTTCAAAATGCTAAACACAGCTGGGCGAGAGTTAAACACAATTACAGCACAGGTGTCACCGTTTACACACAACGACTCAAAATTGCTCACACTTATTTTCTGATACTGCATGCTTTGAATTCTGTGTTCTCCATTTTTTTTAATGTGGTGTCTAATGAATGATCTATAGTGTTTATAATGTTGACTCGTGTGTGTGTGTGTGTGTGTGTGTGTGTGTGATCTGAGAGCATTGTGTGATTTTGAGCACAGGTAAAATGGTTTTGAGGCGATGGTTTGATTTTTCCAGAAGACTCAGCGGTTCTGTGAATGGTTTAAAGTGGGGTTTAGTGTTTAAGGTTTTGAGAAAGTGAGTGATGATGGTTTCAAGAAATGTGTTTTAGCAATTCAGAAAAAACTGTAATATATTTAATGAAGAGTTTATTATTGGTAGTGTGTGTGTTTTTTTTTTTTAACAATTGGCCTTTATATTCCGACACTGTTCCGCACTGTATACACAGACGACGGCGGGCAGAAATATAAATCATACTGTAACAAGCTTAAAGGCTCAGTGAACCAGCAAACGTTCAATGTAACTTTAATAATAATGAAATAAGCATAAACAACCAGTCAGGTGAACTAACAGACATGAATCAGGCACTGTGTGTGTATTGTGCGTTCATGAGCTCTGCTGGAGTAAAGTGTGTGTTTTGTTCAGGATGACGGTGTTCCAGAGATCCATCTGTATCCCCGCGCGCCTCAGCCGATCCGTGTGTTCTCCGCGACGGACCTGCCGGAGCGGGACGGGCCCGTGTTACTCTCGGACCTCTGCGTCAGGACCGGATGGTGAGGAGCGCATCAGACACATCAGACACCATCTGAGATTTACAGTGTTTTACACCGATCACGTGATGACGTGCCTATCTCTTCACATCTCAAAAGATTTTGATGTTCTGGGGTTTCATGATCTTTGTTGATCTGGGCTGTTTTTAATGTAATTTTCTTGATCACACAAACTGGATGCTTGAAATATTTCTAGCATTGCCACGAGGTTAGAGACCAGGAGCGTTTCACCAGTCCACCACGTCCAGAGACACAACTATTATGGATTATTAATTGGCCAAAACTGTCAATTGAAGTCTCCTTCATCTATACAGCGCTGTAACACACACAGTTTCACAGCAGCTTTACAGTGATAACAGGAGATTACAGTAACAGAGAGTGTTCAGGCTTTACAGCAGATCTAGAATAAAGTTACTGTCCAGATAAAGTTAGTTTTGATTGATTCTCTTCCGTCGTAAGTCAAGTCATCCTCATTTATATAGCGCTTCTAATGTAGATTGTTTCAAAGCAGATGTTACGTGTCCACCGAATCAATTGAAAGAGAACATCATAACATATAAAGACCACAGAGATTCAGTGGCGATGCATGAATTATTTATTATAATATATTGTTTTCAATCGTAAACGGAGCATGGTGGTAAAAGAAAATAACAAAACACACAGAAAGAAAACTCTGCCCTCACATCCTCTTCCGGAGGAGTTTATAACCCTTGCCTCCCGTCCGAAAACAAGACAATGTTCTTCCGGCTCCTCTGACTGCTACCCTAACTAACCCTAACTAACCCTAACTAACTCTAACTAACCCTAACTAACCCTAACTAACCCTAACTAACCCTAACTAACCCTAACTAACTCTAACTAACCCTAACTAACTCTAACTAACCCTAACTAACCCTAACTAACCCTAACTAACTCTAACTAACCCTAACTAACTCTAACTAACCCTAACTAACCCTAACTAACCCTAACTAACTCCAACTAACTCTAACTAACCCTAACTAACTCTAACTAACCCTAACTAACTCTTACTAACTCTAACTAACCCTAACTAACCCTAACTAACTCTAACTAACCCTAACTAACTCTAACTAACCCTAACTAACTCTAACTAACCCTAACTAACCCTAACTAACCCTAACTAACCCTAACTAACTCTAACTAACCCTAACTAACCCTAACTAACCCTAACTAACTCTAACTAACCCTAACTAACTCCAACTAACTCTAACTAACCCTAACTAACTCTAACTAACCCTAACTAACTCTTACTAACTCTAACTAACCCTAACTAACCCTAACTAACTCTAACTAACCCTAACTAACCCTAACTAACTCTAACTAACCCTAACTAACTCTAACTAACCCTAACTAACCCTAACTAAATAACGTTCATGTGTGCGGTCCTCCTTCATGTGTGCTCCTCCTTCATGTGTGCGGTCCTCCTTCATGTGTGTGCTCCTCGTTCATGTGTGTGCTCCTCCTTCATGTGTGCGGTCCTCCTTCATGTGTGTGCGGTCCTCCTTCATGTGTGTGCTCCTCCTTCATGTGTGCTCCTCCTTCATGTGTGCTCCTCCTTCATGTGTGCGGTCCTCCTTCATGTGTGCGGTCCTCCTTCATGTGTGTGCTCCTCCTTCATGTGTGCTCCTCCTTCATGTGTGCGGTCCTCCTTCATGTGTGCGGTCCTCCTTCATGTGTGTGCTCCTCCTTCATGTGTGTGCTCCTCCTTCATGTGTGCTCCTCCTTCATGTGTGCGGTCCTCCTTCATGTGTGCGGTCCTCCTTCATGTGTGTGCTCCTCCTTCATGTGTGTGCTCCTCCTTCATGTGTGTGCTCCTCCTTCATGTGTGCTCCTCCTTCATGTGTGCGGTCCTCCTTCATGTGTGCGGTCCTCCTTCATGTGTGTGCTCCTCGTTCATGTGTGCAGCTGGCTGGTGTTTGATCAGCCTGGATTCAGCGGCTCATCAGCCGTTCTGGAAGCTGACGGGAGAATTACGCCGGTTCTCCAGGATTCCCTGCTGTCCCGTGTGAAGAGTCTTCGGCCAGTGGAACCGGTACATATTCACTCCCCCTACCACAGACACGCTCTCCACAGAGTGCAAACGTCACGCTAGTGACACAGCAGCGAGCGCATGCTAACGTTTGCTGTGTTTCTGCTGTTTCAGGCCGGACTGCGGGTGACGAGACCTCTGGACCCGAAGGTAAGACGCACACACACAGATGCTGATGTCCTGGGGTCTCATTTATAAAGCGTGCCTACGCACAAAATGGGGCTGGAAACGTACGTACGCCAGTTTCCGTGCAAAGATTGTGATCTATAAAAAGCAAACTTGACGGGAGACTATGTGCACCTTTAAGCAAACTCTGAGCCGTGCTTACACACATTCTGGAGACAAAGGGATTATTTATTTATTAGATTATTTATTTATTTATTAAATGAGCGATTGTTTCGCTTGATAAGACCCTTATTCATTGTCTGGAATCATAATAGATTGTCTGAGAAAATAGTTCCATGCAAATAATGCATAACCATGTCTATCTGCTTCCATTAAAAATATAAATTAATTAAAAAATACTATTTGGCCAGTGGAAAAGATTGAGAAAATCTTTCTCTGAAATGTATTTTACACTATTTGATTTATTCCTTCAAAAACAAGGCAAGGATATAAGCTACTAAAAAATTTTTTTTTTTATTTTCCTAACATCTATCACATGGATGAATAATCATATGCAAATGATATGCAGATGAGGATATGTATATTTAAACTAGGCGTTGTAATCTCCATATATGGTTATTTCTGGGAGGAGACGCACGTGCGCACAATCTTCGACTAACTGGGATTTATAGAGGGAATTCTGCGCAGGTTCTGGCGTACGCACGGTTTTATAAATCTGAATATTTTTTGGCGTACGCCTTTTTTGGCTTTCGGGCGCACGTACACTTTTAGTAAGGATCCTACGCACAGTTTTATAAATGAGGCCCCAGGGCTGTTCTCAGATCAGCGGATGGGATTCTGTCTCCTGTGTAGGTGATGTTGTTTGAGAAGCCGCAGTTCCAGGGTCAGTGCTGGGAGCTGCTGGATCACACACCCCGTCTGAGGGACATCGAGGGACCCGCCGCCGCCTCCTCTCTACGGGTCACCGGGGGAGTGTGTGTGTCTCTGATTCTCATGAAACAAGCGATGCTGTTAATGTTTCAGATGGAAATATCTTAACTTCTGTAGTGACGACTGGCTGGAAGTGTGTGACTGTGTCTGTGTGTGTGTGTGAGTTGAGTATATGTAAGTACATGACTTTATGAGTATGTGTGTGTGAGAGAGTATGTGAGTGAATGGGTATAAGTGTGAGTGAGTGTATGAGTGTGCAAGTATATGTGTGTGTGTGTGTGTTTATGAGTATATGAGTGTGAGTGTGTGTGTGTGAGTATATGTGTGTGTAAGTAAACAGGCAAACGTTTAGTTTAAGCATGACATCGATGAGTATATGAGTGTGTGAGTGTGTGTTAAAACAGGAGTAAAGTGACAGGATTAGTGTGAAGTTCTGTGTCTGGAAAATCAGAGAAAAGCTCGTCTGAATTATTATATGAAACGGATGGTATTCAAACGGCACAACGTTCTGCTGAAAATCCACAATCTTTCAGCCTAGTGTGCAGTTAAATACATTAATTAATGATTTGTAACATATATAATGTAATTTAATGGAAAAATATAACAACCTGCTGATATTTCCATCAGTCACATGAACACACTGCTGGTCAAAAACACTCAGTGTGTGTGTGTGTGTGTGTTAGATGGGTGTGCTTCTCCAGTGAAGGGTTCAGAGGTCATCAGTGTGTGCTGGAGGAGGGGGAATACAGCGACTGTACACGACTGTTCGGAGGAACTGAGCTGACGATCCAATCGCTGCGCTTCATTCAGACTGTGAGTGAATGTTTTCGTGACCTTCGACCCTCTTCATCAGGCCTGTGCTTGTGTAAATGCTTCAGACGACCATTATTTCATCAACTCGGTGATCTTGCTCAAAATCATTTTCACATTTAAGTATTATGGAGTTAAAATGAGAAAAAGTGGATGAGAAAATCTCACTGAAATGCCTCAATGTGAGTGACCTTATCCGTGATCTTGTGTTTGCTAATGACTGTCACGTTCCCTCAGGACTTCCTGGAGCCAGCGGTGTGTGTGACGAGCTGTGGTGAGGAAACCGAGGTGTGTGTGGACTTGCCGGATCTGCAGGAGTCCGACAGCATCAGTGTGAAGAGCGGAGCGTGAGGAAGCTTTCAGAACCACAGTCAGAGCACAGAGAGCGAAGGCCTGCTCACACCAGATCTAGAACCATAACCCAGATCTAGAACCCTAACTCTAACCCTAACCCAGTCCTGCTCACACCAGATCTAGAATCCTGACCCTGACCCAGTTAGAGCACAGAGAGCGAAGGCCTGCTCACACCAGATCTAGAACCCTCACCCAGATCTAGAACCCTAACTCTAACCCTAACCCAGTCCTGCTCACACCAGATCTAGAATCCTGACCCAGATCTAGAACCCTAACCCAGTCAGAGCACAGAGAGCAAAGGCCTGCTCACACCAGATCTAGAACCCTCACCCAGATCTAGAACCCTAACTCTAACCCTAACCCAGTCCTGCTCACACCAGATCTAGAATCCTGACCTAGATCTAGAACCCTAACCCTGACCCAGTTAGAGCACAGAGAGCGAAGGCCTGCTCACACCAGATCTAGAACCCTCACCCAGATCTAGAACCCTAACCCAGTCAGAGCACATTGAGCAAAGGCCTGCTTACACCAGATCTAGAACCCTAACTCTAACCCTAACCCAGTCCTGCTCACACCAGATCTAAAAGCCTAACCTATATCTAGAACCCTCACCCCAATCTAGAACCCTAACCAAGTCAGATCACAGAGAGCAAAGGCCTGCTCACGCCAGATCTAGAACCCTAATCCAGATCTAGAACCCCAACCCAGTCAGATCACAGAGAGCAAAGGCCTGCTCACACCAGATCTAGAACCCTAACCCAGATCTAGAACCCTAACCCAGTCAGAGCACAGAGAGCGATAATGCTTCAAATAAATGCTGTTCTTCTGAACTTTCTATTCATCAAAAGCTGCGTTTCCACGAGATTAGCCGGAGTCCCGCAGCTTCTCCTGTGTGTGTGCGTTTGTGTGCGCACTGGGTCAGGACCGGGAAGATCCGGAGACGCAGGGCCCCGCGCGGCCTTACCGTTCCCGCTGGACTTCAGCTTAATAAAGCCTGAACCTCCTTGTCGGTCCATCGTCGTATTTTTTTACTCCATCGTTGATTCATGTGGCAGTCAAGATGCGCATGAACTCGACCAATCAGCATGCTCAAGTCAAGTCACCTTTATTTCTACAGCGCTTTCTACAATACAGATTGTATCAAAGCAGCTTCACAGTGATAACATGAAAATAATACAACGAAGTTTGTTTCTAGAAGAAAATTGCATCATCGTTCACCTGAAGTAAGGCAGATCAATAATATTGTTGAATATTAACACAGGAATAAATTACACTTTACTATATATTCACATAGAGAACAGTGGATTTACACTGGAGATTTTAATTTTTATCAAATAAATGCAGCCTTTATTACTTGGTGAGCAGCAGAGACCTCTTTTAAAAACATTAAAAGTGTCACCTATCCTAACCCTTTGACTGCTAGTGTGTATTCCTCACCAGCAGACGATTATTATAAGAGCACTGTCACTTTAAATGCTTTAAATCTTGTTTATCTGTGTCGTTATAGTTATAGTTCTATATATATATATATATATATATCTGTCTGTGTGTGTGTGTGTGTGTGTGTCAGGTGGGTGGCATACAGCGGCAGGTGTTTCACTGGACACCAGTATGTTCTGGAGAAAGGCCAGTATCCCGGGCAGCTTCAGTGGGGCGACGGCCAGAGCTCAGCTCAGTCCCTGCGGGCCATTCACAGGGTGAGACACACACACACACACACACACACACTCACACTCACACACACACACACACACACACTCACACTCACACTCACACACACACACACTCACACTCACACACACACACACACACACACACACACACACACACACACACACACACACACACACACACACACACACACACACTCACACAATTTTTAATTTCAGCTTCATTAGTATGACTGTGAAACACAATGTTCCCAAAGTATCAACATATTATATATAAATAATAAAACAAACAAAACATATATGTATAGATCATGTCATATATGGTATAGAAATAAATCGCATATACATACAGTAAATAATATATAAATAAATACAGTAGTTAGAAATAAATCGCTAAATAAACACAATCTATCCTAGTAAATAAATCAATAAATTACGCATGACTCTAGAGAGTTGTGAATAGCTAACACATATTTAGCCGCTAGTGCAGCTGTACTAGCATTTTCTCCGATTAGGAAGGACAGTTCAGTGTCGCTCGGATCAGAGAATGGTGGAATCAAGGTTTCTAATCTGGATGAAAGGTTTCTCTTATATTAGTATATTTGGGACAGAAGAGCAGAAAGTGTTCCTCGTCCTCTGTGTGCTGCAGATCACAGTGTCTACAGATCCTCACTCACTCCCGCACACACACTCTCTCTCTCTCACAGAACGGCCGGTACTCCAGGACACACACGCAGTCACAGACATCCTAGTTCTGGGAGTCTCCCGCATATTGATAGCGACCCCCTGATGACCGCAAATTAGTTCAAATCTCCCGAGCGAGCCAGAGTGCACGACAGAGAGAGGGAGCGAGCGAGAGACCTTGCGTGTGTGTGCTAGTGTGCGCGTGTGCCTAATTTCCAGTGCGGACGGGATTTTATCTCTACAACTCCCGAAAAGAATTAATCAGAAATGACTTGCTAGGGATGATGTTAGCAGTTAATGATTACAGCAGTTAAAATAGCTAGACTGCAACATTTTAGCTGTAAAATGCCACATGCAGTGTAGATAATATTAAGAAATATGTTGTGCTTTTACTTTTAAAAATGTTGGTAACATTAGGGTTAATGCTTACAATCTTTGAAGATTTTGAGTACAGAAGTTACATTTGTAATGGTGGAGCTTATTTTCATTTAGATGTGGTATTATTATTGTGCAATAGCTAAGATTAATTACTGGAGAAATGAATTAAAAGGCTTTAGTTGTGGCTCATGATACCATCCAAATTATAGCAAACAGCATATTATACAATCCATTCCATGCTGTCTTAAAATGAATTAAGATTATAAAGTAATACATTCATTTTAAAACAGCATGGAATGGATTGTATAATATGCTGTTCGCTATAATTTGGATGGTATAGTATCATGAGCCACAACTAAAGACACTCATGCCAGGCGGCAGGCGTTATTGTTGTCGAGTTTCTGCACGCCGATTGCTTTGGGCTGGGCCGTTTTTTAGTCCCAGTCTGTCCCTGCCCACACACACACACACACACACACACACACACCTGCACATGCTTCTTCAACTCAAGAGTGTGTGTAGATACAGGCTGCATGACAGACTTTCATTGATGCATTTCATTTTCTCCACAGGAAGTGGCTTGGATCGAGGAACCACAGTTTTTGGTACGTTTGCATTTCACGTGTTGCTAACAATATTCAGAGGCTGCGTCACTCGAAACGTCACCGCGTCTCACACACACAGTTTCACATAGGTTGTGAACCCTGTTTTCAGACAGTGAATATAACTTTCAAAAAAGTCCAGTATGAATGTTGCTGGCGCTCTTCTCCGTCGGCTAGAGCAGGGCTTCCCAAATTCTTCCATTGCAGGACCTCCTAGGCCAGAATAATCGATCCAGAGTAGCAGGACCTCCTAGACCAGATTAACCGATCCAGAGTAGCAGGACCTCCTAGACCAGAATAACCGATCCAGACTACCAGGACCTCCTAGACCAGAATAATCGATCCAGACTACCAGGACCTCCTAGACCAGAATAATCTATCCAGACTACAAGGACCTCCTAGACCAGAATAACCGATCCAGAGTAGCAGGACCTCCTAGACCAGAATAATCTATCCAGACTACCAGGACCTCCTAGACCAGAATAATCGATCCAGACTACCAGGACCTCCTAGACCAGAATAATCTAGCCAGACTACCAGGACCTCCTAGACCAGAATAATCGATCCAGAGTACCAGGACTTCCTAGACCAGAATAATCGATCCAGCCTACCAGGACCTCTTAGACCAGAATAATCGATCCAGAATACCAGGACCTCCTAGACCAGAATAATCGATCCAGACTACCAGGACCTCCTAGACCAGAGTAATCGATCTAGAGTACCAGGACCTCCTAGACCAGAACAATCTATCCAGACTACCAGGACCTCCTAGACCAGAATAATCGATCCAGAGTACCAGGACCTCCTAGACTAGAATAATCGATCCAGAGTAGCAGGACCTCCTAGACCAGAATAATCGATCCAGAGTACCAGGACCTCCTAGACCAGAATAATCGATCCAGACTACCAGGACCTCCTAGACCAGAATAATCGATCCAGAGGATCAGGACCTCCTAGACCAGAATAATCGATCATAGACCAGAATAATCGACTAATCGATACAGACTACCAGGACCTCCTAGACCAGAATAATCTAGCCAGACTACCAGGACCTCCTAGACCAGAATAATCTATCCAGACTACAAGGACTTCCTAGACCAGAATAATCGATCCAGCCTTCCAGGACCTCTTAGACCAGAATAATCGATCCAGAATACCAGGACCTCCTAGACCAGAATAATCGATCCAGACTACCAGGACCTCCTAGACCAGAGTAATCGATCCAGAGTACCAGGACCTCCTAGACCAGAACAATCTATCCAGACTACCAGGACCTCCTAGACCAGAATAATCGATCCAGAGTACCAGGACCTCCTAGACTAGAATAATCGATCCAGAGTAGCAGGACCTCCTAGACCAGAATAATCGATCCAGAGTACCAGGACCTCCTAGACCAGAATAATCGATCCAGACTACCAGGACCTCCTAGACCAGAATAATCGATCCAGAGGATCAGGACCTCCTAGACCAGAATAATCGATCATAGACCAGAATAATCGACTAATCGATACAGACTACCAGGACCTCCTAGACCAGAATAATCGATCCAGAGTAGCAGGACCTCCTAGACCAGAATAATCGATCCAGAGTAGCAGGACCTCCTAGACCAGAATAATCAATCCAGCACACCCAATGGTTTTAGACTGCACATCAACTGATTTACTTGGACATGGCAGAACAAATTTAAAGAAATGAAAAAGTAGTCTTCTGTAAGCTTAATCTTAACCAAAAGTTCAGAAAAAATCTGAATATAAAAAAATAAACTGTTATTTTATTTGATAGTAGGCCTAGAACTGTAAAATTTCAATACTAATATTTATGACGCCAGCAATCAGTTTAGCTCACAATGCTTTTGGGAATCACAGCTCAGATTTAAATCAGCCGTTCGTTAATAGTGCGCTAAATGAACCTGAGCACTCTGAGACGCTGAATATTATCACAAGAAGTCGCACGCTCGCTTCATGAAACACAATGTGGACAGATTTATCGAACTAAATCGCAGCCTTTGCGATTCGAAAATCGCACTGACTAAACAATATAGCGATTTCTATTTAATGTTAGTACATCGTGCAACGCTAGACTGTGTGTGTGTGTGTGTGTGTGTGTCATACACTGAAATTTAAGTTTAGCTGCAGGCAACTCTGTGACCCACAGTTTGACACCGCTGGGCTAGACCGCTTTGTTTAACAAAGCTCGGTTCAACCTTCGCGGACGCAAGAGGAGGCAGCCTCTGAATTGGGACTCAGTTAATGAGCTAACGTGTCTGTCTCTGAGCGCAGCGTTTCTCTCTGAGCGCAGCTAACGTGTCTGTCTCTGAGCGCAGCTAACGTGTTTCTCTCTGAGCGCAGCTAACGTGTTTCTCTCTGAGCGCAGCGTTTCTCTCTGAGCGCAGCTAACGTGTTTCTCTCTGAGCGCAGCTAACGTGTTTCTCTGAGCGCAGCTAACGTGTTTCTCTGAGCGCAGCTAACGTGTCTGTCTCTGAGCGCAGCGTTTCTCTCTGAGCGCAGCTAACGTGTTTCTCTCTGAGCGCAGCTAACGTGTTTCTCTGAGCGCAGCTAACGTGTTTCTCTCTGAGCGCAGCTAACGTGTTTCTCTGAGCGCAGCTAACGTGTCTGTCTCTGAGCGCAGCGTTTCTCTCTGAGCGCAGCTAACGTGTTTCTCTGAGCGCAGCTAACGTGTTTCTCTGAGCGCAGCTAACGTGTTTCTCTCTGAGCGCAGCTAACGCGTTTCTCTCTGAGCGCAGCTAACGTGTTTCTCTCTGAGCGCAGCTAACGTGTTTCTCTCTGAGCGCAGCTAACGCGTTTCTCTCTGAGCGCAGCTAACGCGTTTCTCTCTGAGCGCAGCTAACGTGTTTCTCTCTGAGCGCAGCTAACGTGTTTCTCTCTGAGCGCAGCTAACGTGTTTCTCTCTGAGCGCAGCTAACGTGTTTCTCTCTGAGCGCAGCTAACGTGTTTCTCTCTGAGCGCAGCTAACGTGTTTCTCTCTGAGCGCAGCTAACGCGTTTCTCTCTGAGCGCAGCTAACGCGTTTCTCTCTGAGCGCAGCTAACGTGTTTCTCTCTGAGCGCAGCTAACGTGTTTCTCTCTGAGCGCAGCTAACGTGTTTCTCTCTGAGCGCAGCTAACGTGTTTCTCTCTGAGCGCAGCTAACGTGTTTCTCTGAGCGCAGCTAACGTGTTTCTCTGAGCGCAGCTAACATGTTTCTCTCTGAGCGCAGCTAACGTGTTTCTCTGAGCGCAGCTAACGCGTTTCTCTCTGAGCGCAGCTAACGTGTTTCTCTCTGACCGCAGCTAACGTGTTTCTCTCTGAGCGCAGCTAACGCGTTTCTCTCTGAGCGCAGCTAACGCGTTTCTCTCTGAGCGCAGCTAACGTGTTTCTCTCTGAGCGCAGCTAACGTGTTTCTCTCTGAGCGCAGCTAACGCGTTTCTCTCTGAGCGCAGCTAACGTGTTTCTCTGAGCGCAGCTAACGTGTTTCTCTGAGCGCAGCTAACATGTTTCTCTCTGAGCGCAGCTAACGTGTTTCTCTGAGCGCAGCTAACGCGTTTCTCTCTGAGCGCAGCTAACGTGTTTCTCTCTGACCGCAGCTACGAGCCTACAGCCAGACGCGGTACAGCGGAGAGAGCCGCGAGTTTGAGAGTGACTGTGGCGTAACAGGTCTCGCGTCCTTCAGGGTGATCCGAGGAAACTGGCTGCTGTTCGATGAGGAGGGATTTTCTGGGAACCAGTATATCCTGGGGGAGGGTCTTTACCCTGACCTCACTTCCTGTGGCTGTTTATCGAGCGCCATCAAGTCTTTAAAGCCTATTCCATACGTGAGTCGATGACAGCAAACATCACCACATTACAGTAGACACAAGAAATAAACACGCTTCCCGTGACACTCGTATGTGTTTCTTGGCTCAGAGTTTCACGGAGCCGTCGGCGAGTTTGTTTTCTCTCAGCGGTTTCGAGGGCCTTGAAGAAACGTGTTTCTCAGACGTGGAGAGCATGAGCCACTTCTTCAGCCAGTCCGTGAGGGTCACCAGCGGCCTGTAAGAGCTCCTTCACGACTCGCTGTTCCTGTTAATAACGCTCAGTCAGGGTGACGAACGCTGTCGTCTCACAGGTGGGTCGCGTATGAATACGCTCGTTTTAAGGGCCGCCAGACGCTCCTGCAGCCTGGAGAATATCCGGCGTGGGGGGCCCGGAGCGGCTGGGAGACCATCGGGTCGCTGAAGCCTCTCAAACAGGTCCGTTCAAAACATTATCACCACTGACTAATCGTGAAAAATCACAATTGCAGGTTCTGTATGGATCTGAGTGTACAGCATATTTACACCGATTGGCCACTGCATTAACGTCTGTGATTGGTTGCGAAGGCGCTCACAAACACTCATCATAACTAACAGTGTAAAAGCATGACTGTAAATGACTGACTGATTTAGCAGTATACACACATTCTGTTATTAGAACGGGAGTTTTTCAGAGATGGCAGAGCTCAGCTGAACTGGAGTGATGCTGGGCGATAGGACAAAAACAACATGTGATCGCATCAGTTTTTGTTCATACAGGCTTTAAGTATAGCCAAAGGAATTTCCTTATTTGAAACATAAAGCCTTAAAGAAAAATGAATGACAGATTATTTAAACCAAAGTAAGTGTGATCGATATGACCAAAACCTTATTTTTAATAGCAAACGTATAAATATAATATAAAGGTAAAATAATGATAAAGTGAAATAAGAACAAAGATGCAAATGACAAACAATAGGACTGTATACAATATTATGGCTCGTTTCCACTGAGGGGTACGGTACGGGTCGGGTCGGGTCGGGTACACCATGATCAGGCTTGTGTTTCCACCGCCAACAGTACCCTTACTTGATAGGCGTGGTATGCTGGAAAGAAGCGATCGACGTCATTTTCGCGCAAAGAAAGCGACATAAACAACAATGGATGACAGACAGCAGATCTTGTTCTTGCTTCTCGGCATGTTTGTCACTAGAAACAAGCGCTGGCATTAGGCGTTTCTCAATACCAAGTAGCCTACGCAAAGTCCGACTCAGGAGATGATCCCGAGGACGCGAGTCCAGTAATGCTGCTAATAGACCAGCGCGTTCTTGAGATCGGCACTCTGCTCGCTCTGGTTATCTCTGTATGTTCATTTTAGGCAACAATAAAACGAAATATGTTATTAAACACCACTCTGCTTCATTTCGATTTCATTTCAATACATTTAAAACATTCTAAAGCACATAAATGTGGTTCAGGCAACACATAGCCTATTGATTATCACTGCATGTAACGTTATATTTATAATAAAACTAAATATAAAACAACCCTGCCTCTTTTCGTTTAAATTTAAAAATATTAAACATATTCCAGGCAATATGTAATGTAATGTATTGCATATCGCATTGGTACAGATGTTGCAATAAACAACATTACAGATGATAATGAAATTAAAAAAAATGACAAAACTATCTCTTTTTGTTGAATTTCAGTTTAATCAATAATAGCCATTATAAAAGTATAAGTAAAATGTACAAAATACAGTAAAGTTTAAATAATATCAAGAAACAATTAATTCAGTCAGTCAAATAGGACTACAAATTCAGCGCTCTAAGATATGAAACTTCACGTAGCCTTCTGCCAAAACTATTGGCCAGGAAACGAATTATAGATTCACAAGACCAAAGATCACCTGTTAGGTTTATACAAGACGAACTATATCTCATGTTTAACAACTACAGAGACATCCGAGTCAGCGGCAAACATCAGAACGACTAGCCGAGGAAAGGCTGTTCCCGGCGGGGGACACGAGCGCGAGCGTCCGGTGATCGCTTGGAATGGATCTCAGTCAAATTATCAAAAATCTATAAATAAACCACAGATTTGATCTCTAAAAAACTACTTTCTCGCCTGATAAAGTCTTAAAACTACATTTCGTGACACAATAACAGTAGAATTATATTTCAACTGTATGCTTCTATGCCCTTGTAGCACGCGCGAGTGACGATACTCTGTCCACCAATCAGTGTTCTGCAGTGAGTCTAGCTCCACCTTTTAGTACCGTATCTCTGTGCTAGGAACCCCAACGGAAGGGTACCCCAATAGTGGTACGGTACGGTTCGGCTTTTTGGTACCATTCACAACTTTTGACAGTGGAAACGCAAATAATTGCGTACCGAACCGAACTGTACCGTACCGTAGCGCTCAGTGGAAACGAGCCATTAGAACGATACAAATGAAGCAACATGCTCTACATTTCTCAGGTACAGTAGGTCTATTGAACAGTAGCTGTCAAGTCAGAAATTGAATAATCACATGTAAAAATAAAACTCTGCTGGCTTTCTGTATGTACGTTGTGTCGTCTGCTGCTGAGAGGAATGTGACGTTGGACACTGATTTGATTTACTGATGGGTTATTCAGCAACACTTCTCAGATTGGATTGATGCAGTTCACGGCACTTACAGGGTGAGTTCAGCCAAACATGAAAACTCCCTCGTGTTGCTCCAACCACGCAAGACTTTTGTTCATCTTTGGAACACAAATGAAGATATCTGATGAGATCGGAGAGCTGGATCACTCCTGCATGGGCTTCAAGGGGATTTCATCCTGCCGGCCCAGATACGTTAGTAAAGAGATCTCTCAGAGTATCTTTATTTGAGTTCTGTTAGGACATCATGAGGGAGAGGAAACACTGACAGTGTTTACATTTTTGGGTGAACTAACCCTTCTAAATACCAATATCAATTGTTGGAATGAATAAAAGTAACGTGCAAATAGGATTTGTCGTAAACAGCATTATTTTATGGAGTGTGTAGGCGTTTCTCAATGTCAAGGAAGGATCCTCGGAAGCCGGAATTTCGAGGATGCTACGTCATCGACGTTCGTCGAAGGACTGTTCCAATGTCGAGGATCCTCAGAATTTCAACCAAGGACTGAGTCCTTCGTTCGGAAAATATCCCATACACAGGAAAGGATGCATATGTGTAGCCTTCGCGCTCTTAAATCACCCACAATCCTATGCGCAGCTTTGCTATCTTGTTCAAAAAATAAAAAATGTCGACCGTTAGCGGAGTCGGAGTGATAATGGCAATATGCTTTCAAATGTAAGCAAGTATAATTTCAGTTTAGCCATTTATTTAATGTTTGTTAAACTATTTAACATATCGGCTCAAATTTGCTGAGGGGATTTAAAGCTGTTCCCTTTTACTGGTGATTAACTTTTTAATTTTTACTTCATAGCCTTTTTTGTTGGTCACATATTTTACAATTGCATGTGTTTTAACAGCTAGATCATGTTGCTATATGGAGGTAGTTCTGTTAAATCCGGTAATATAATCGTTTTTGAATGAATAAACTCCTTTTTAAATCAATATTTTGTGTCAAATTATTGATTTATTTGGTAGGTAGCCATGTTATAAGTGGGAAAATGTATAGCGAGGCGGTTACAGCGAATACAACCGGCTGATCAAGACCCCTCTGCTTTAGAGTTTGCGGGGTTGTATTCACTATAACAACCACCTGGTTATACATTATCCCTTTATTTATTTATTTCTATGAGGACTGACAAGACAAAATAAGGACTGTCAAGTGTATTTAAACAGTGCAGTACACCAGCACTATGATTTTTGCAGCGCCGAAGCGGACCTTTCACTGATGTAATGACGCAATGACGTGCACTTGCTAGCCTGTTCCATTTACGTGTTCTCCGAACGCTAAAGAGGACTCTTGCCTAGCCTCTGAAGGAAATGACTTGGAAGGACCCGTCCTGCCAAGGAAGTATCCTTGACATTGAGAAACACCTACTGTGTCCTTATTATGCATGTGATTGTAGTGTGTGTTTGCTTTACTCAGTGTGCTAGACGTGTAGTTGTGTGTCCTAACCCTGCTCCTTGAGGCACACCAACAGTGCACATTTCTGACCCGTATATCTGCTCTTGCAGTCTGGACTAGTGCGCTGAGGAGTGGATTCAGGTGTGGTCGAGTAGAGTTGGATAATGTGTAGTGTTGCTGTGCCTCCATGGACAGGGTTGGGAAACACGACTAAAGCACCGAAGGCGAGTGTGTGTGTGTTCATGTGTGTGTTGGTTGTCCTCAGCCGAAAGTGTTGCTCCATGTGCGGAGTCGAGCTCTGGCTGCAGTTCTGACCAGCGAGAGCAGAGACGGCTCGTTCCCCGCCAAACTCTCCCTGTGTCCCGCCGACCGCTCTCTGGACACACAGCGCTGGACCTTCACCGGCGGCCTCCTCAAGAACACGGTCAGTCCAACACACACACACACACACACACACACGTTCAGGGAATATTCTTCTGTCAGTCTCACACACACACACACACACACACACACACAACGACTGATTCACTGCGAACCGTCAGCAGAGAGTCCTGCTTTTGACACGCAGCATCACATGACAGTCAGACTCATTTCTGAGTGCGTGTGTGTGTGTGTGTGCGTGCAGGCGCTGCGCGGCTGTCTGTGTGTGATCGGGGCCAAGGCCTGCGCCGGAGCCAGAGTGGCATTATGGGAAGAACATGGGCGAGTGAACCAGCGCTGGAGTCTCAGCGAGGACGGGAGAATCTGCTCACATCTAAACCACAGCCTGGTGTTAGACCTCAGAGGTGTGTGTGTGTGTGTGTGTGTGTGTGGTGTTAGACCTCAGAGGTGTGTGTGTGTGTGTGTGTGTTAGACCTCAGAGGTGTGTGTGTGTGTGTGTGTGTTAGTGTGTTAGACCTCAGAGGTGTGTGTGTGTGTTAGTGTGTTAGACCTCAGAGGTGTGTGTGTGTTAGTGTGTTAGACCTCAGAGGTGTGTGTGTGTGTGTGTTAGACCTCAGAGGTGTGTGTGTGTGTGTGTTAGACCTCAGAGGTGTGTGTGTGTGTGTGTTAGACCTCAGAGGTGTGTGTGTGTGTGTGTGTGTGTGTGTGTGGTGTTAGACCTCAGAGGTGTGTGTGTGTGTGTGTGTGTTAGACCTCAGAGGTGTGTGTGTGTGTGTGTGTGTTAGTGTGTTAGACCTCAGAGGTGTGTGTGTGTGTTAGTGTGTTAGACCTCAGAGGTGTGTGTGTGTGTGTGTTAGACCTCAGAGGTGTGTGTGTGTGTGTGTTAGACCTCAGAGGTGTGTGTGTGTGTGTCTGTGTGTGTGTGTGTTTCTGTTTCTATTACACTAGCCGCGTGTCCACTGTGAGGTCAGGGTCAACAGCGAGCCGGGCCGGGCTGAGCCACTGTCCTCGGGCTTGTGTTTCCACTGTCGGGCCAGTATCCCCGCAGCTGCCATAAACCCCGCCCCTAACACGCCTTCCTGGATCGAACGTCATACAACCCCACCCATTTCAGCCGGGAATTATGAAGGTCATTCAGGCAGCTTGCTAAAATCACACGACGATCGAGATGGAGATTTGCTTGGTGGAAGATGTTAGCCTGTCATGTCAGACCTACATCAAGACGTCAGGTCTGGAAACTCTTCATTGACGGGGCTCAATCCGAGGGGCGGGATAAACGGTTGTCTTTCAAATTCTCTCTGCACGCAATTGGATAGCGCTACAGCCAATCAGAGCAACGAAGAAGGTGACGTACTCAGCGGAGCAAGTTGATATATTAAATTTTTACCGCATCCAGTCCAGCTGTCAACATTGAACATTGAAAATAAGAGAGATTTCCCAGAATCCATCCCCAAAATAAGGGATTTTTTTGTTTTTTACACGACCCACAAACTTTAAAAATAAAACACTAATCATTAAAAGTCAAAAGAGTTTATAACTAGCCTACATATGTGTGAGAGAGAAAGAGACAGTATGTGTGTGTGTATATGAGAGAGAAAGAGATATAAAAAATAATATCATAGAGAATGTTTAAATACTAATATCAGCTTACGAGGGAAACGGAGGCGGAGTAGTGGTGCTTCGGGTGCTGGGGATGATTCGGGAGAGGTCCGTGCACCGATCAGAGCGCCGCTAACACGGAGTAAAGCCTTTATACTCCACGACACAGCACGAGCGCAGCATGACAAGTTAATCGTTTCGCCACAGCTGTTTTGTAACAGCGCGCGCGGCGCCGGCCGCATCCGAGGATGAACGAATATGTCCGAGCTGGCTCTGACCGGCTCAACTCTGTCGTCATTATGTTAAGCCCGCCCGCCGACTCTATACACGATGTGATTGGCCCTTCCAGAGTTGAGTTTTTCCAGCTCAAACGTCTATGGAGAGTTGCTAGACCACACTTTGCTGCAAAATAATTTTTGCTGCCGCTAGGGTGCGTCTAGATTTCTAGGCTAGGAAGATGTGGCAGCAAAGCCAAGATAAGAAGATGGAGGTTCAGCGGCGACAACGGCGAAAGCTTATTTTGGCTGCAAGGCGAAAGAGAGCGGCCCAACGTCGTGCGATTCGGTTACAGCGAATGCAGAGTCGCCAGCAATGGATGCAAACGGTAAATGTCTTATTTTATAGTATAGCTCATTCGTATCTCGTGTAGTCGATGTGAGCATAACTTCAAATCAAATTGCACGGAGTTGTTTTTATGAACGTTTCACTAACTTTACTATCTGCTGAAAAGACAAATATTTTGCTAACTTATCATATCTTGATTGCTAATATCATTAAGTTAGGTGTTAATGTTAAACTGCTGTTTTTTATTGCTGTTAAGTTAGTTGAACTGTTTTGTAAATGATGTTTTGAAATTACAATATGATTTAGAAGAGCCATTTTAAAGAAATTAAAGAAAGAAAAATACAATAATTTATACCCATGATTATGAATATATGCATTTACATTTCGCATAATTAGGGAAGTAATGTTTACAGTACCACTTTGCAAGAAAGTAAAGTATGCGATGTAGGCCTATGGGTTAACAGGAATGAAAATTAGCAATACATTTGTTACTCTATTTGTTAATCTTTGATAATGCTAGATTAAAAAAAACAACAACAAAAAAACAGCTGTTGGTTTGTCAGTTTGTTCACAGTGCGTTAACTAATTGTAACAATTAAAACATTGGAGTGTGATGTATTAATAAATGGGTTGGCAAATACATTTGTAAATGCTGTAGAAGTGCCTTTCATTATCAGATCTGTAACATAATTATGTAATTAATGTTTGCATTTCATTCTATTATTTCTCAGATGATGCATCAGTACTACACCAATATAATGCGGACCGCTGAGGTGTGGGCCTATCAGCCAACGAGTGACTGCTGGGAGATTCGCAGATGAGCAGTGGCTGGGTGACTTCAGCTTTTCCAGAGAAACATTCACATACATTTGTCCAACTCTGAAGCCTGCGCTACAGCGACAAGATACAAGTGATCGATTATGCATTCCTCTGGACAAACGGGCAGAGTACAGGACAGTAGCCAACTGTTTGCTGTCAGTCGGACTTCTGTTTGCCGCTGCTGTTTGCGTGACTTTTGTAAGGCTGGAATTGCAATACTTCGGCAATCACAGTTCATCAAAACACCAGACCAGGACAAACTATCTGAGATGGCTTTGTACTTGGAAGAGAGCTGTGGGGTTCCAGTGTGTGGGTGCTCACATCCCTATATTGAAACCTCCTCCACGATACCAATCAGATCTCCACAACAGAAAAGCTTGGCACTCCATAATTGTACAAGCAACTGTGGATGGCAAAGGGATGTTCTGGGACCTGAATGTTGGACAGCCGGGGGGGGAGATCACGGCGCTGGTGTCCTCAGAACGTCACGCCCATGGGCTTGGGTCACGGACCGTAATGGTTTTTCTGGCAGAGTGAAAAACATACGTGGAACTGATGTTGGATACTTCATTCTTGGTGATTCTGCTTACCCGTTGCAGAAATGGTTGCTAAAACCATTGCTGCGTCCCAATTCGCATACTATCTGGCCTAAATAGTATTCGAAAATAGAATTAGTGCGTCCCAAATCGTAGTATGTTGAAATGAGTGTTTCAAAGATACCCGGATGGTCTACTATATCCGGTCAGAATCCGAAGTGCAGATCGATGCACACTCTAACGGCTGATATTGCCCACAAACCATTGCGCTTTGGACGAGGATTCGGTTAGAACTACAAACACGAGTAAAAAGTGTTCAAAAACTACAGACACGTCGTCGATACGGAGATCGCGCGAGTCCCCGCGGTTGTGTAGAGAGGTTTAGATAAAGAGCTTTGAGTGATTCATTATCAGTATCTAACCGGACGAAAATGAATTTATTCAATGTTCTCCACATTATATTGCATTTGCAGCAGCATTGTGAACTTTAGTAAAGACAAGTTTAGCCATTACATTTTAAATGCATCATTATATTCAATTTGCAAACACGAGGAGAGCATGAAAGACCCACAACTGGCAGATGAACGTGCTCTCCGAGACGGTAGGAAATAAAATTAGATTGAATGGAGGATTTTAACTGTGACGAGATGATTGACAGGGCAGTTTACGGTGACAGGATGATTGACAGGGCAGTTTACAGCACGCGACAGAGCCGTCTGTTAAAGATGACGTGATAGTACGTCCCAAAGCTTGCCTACTCTTTTGCTACACACTCAAAAGTATGTACTTTTTCCTCACAAAAAGACTACATACTTTCAGGGTGTAGTATAGACCATTTCACGAGATGTAAACAACACTGGTCCAGAAGCACTTCCTGTTTCAGTTTTTTAACACTACATAAAAGCTGGGATAAAATACAACCAACAAAACATTTAAAACTGAATCAAAAAGTTAAACAAACATCTTTAAGATGTTTTCTTTACATGTGAAATAAAGAAAACAGTTACAAACTAAAACAGGAAGTGCTTCTGGACCAGTGTTGTTTACATCTTGTGAAATGGTCTGATAAGTAAGCGAATTGGGACGCAGCACATATCCTGATACCGGCAGGCTTACAGAGGCCCAAGAACTATACAACATGCCAACAAGTCGAGCCCGTTGTGTGGTTGAACATGCGTTTGGGAGGTTGAAAGGAAGGTGGAAGGGTCTCAGTAAGAGAAATGACTGAAAATGTAAAATGTTGTTGTTGATATGGTTGAGACGTGCTGTACAGTGCACAACTTGTGTGAATTGTACATGGACAGCGTTCAGATGCAAGAAGTGCTCTGCAACAGTTGTTCATGCAGCAGCAACAATTGTAAGTTGTTGTTATATTGTGTTTTTTACAAATTAAATATGTGAATTGAAGATTTGACATAACCCCGTTTTGTGACTTACAATTCTTTATCCTAAATGCTACATGGTTACATCAGACAATATCAGATCAATAGGCTATTTAAGCATACTGCAAAAGTGTTTTAATAACATACAATTTAACAATCTTCTCACTATTTTTAAATAAAAGCAAACATACTCATAACTGCAATTAAAAAAAACAGAGCAAAAGAGCAAAGTATGTCTGTGGAAATTTATTTAGATACGGTCACTTCTGTTAATGGTACTTTAAAATGCTAAACTGCTTACACTGTTTACAGTATTACAGAATACAAAAGGTGGCCGTCAGACAGCCGTTTCAATAATGTGTCCATAAGCATGCATAGAAGGAGATAGAATATACAGTTAGTGCAGTATAAAACCATTACACCTATGGAGAGTCCCCACACACATGTGTGCGCCTGTTATAGAGTGTGTGTGTGTGTTCTGAACAGTCTCTCTCTCTCTCAGGTGGGTGCGGCGCTGACCGAGATCAGCTGGTTCTGAGTCCGCTTGGTGCTGCCGACACTCAGCGCTGGGACCTCGACGTGCTGTGACACACACACACACACACACACGATGAAACATGACGATATCAGGGACCGAATCTGGACAAATCAGCAGAACTGAGATCAGAGACAAAAATCAAGGAGGCCGAGGAAGAGGAGGAGCGGGATGAAGAGGAGGAGTGTGTTTATCTTGTGAAGCACATTTGCACTATCAGGAACACCTCAGCGGACGTCCTGCTGGAAGATGAACCGATGCGGACACTTGTTCTCCCTCTGTGTGTGTGTGAAGAGCCCTGCAGGAACACTGACGTGTGTGTAGTCTGATTTCAGAGGTACGCCAAACACATAATGTGTACAGTGATGTTCATAATCAGCAGTTTTAAAAGCAGTACGAATCTGAACAATAAATTTAAGTCGGAAAATTCATTTTGTGTTTGTTTGAACAAGATGTTTTGCAACTGCTGTTGATACACAATATTTCACAGGATTTATTCATGACATTTTTATTCGGCTACAATTGGTCACACAACTTTTTCCAGTAATATTTAGTTTAATATATAATTTAATAATAGTGTAATATTTCTGATGGACCTCAGAGGTGTGTGTGTGTGTGTGTGAGATGTGCCGGAGAATCAGCTGATAGTATAGTTCATAGATAAACAAAGCTCATGTTGTGTGGTGGTGTGTGTAGTCGGTCATGTTGTGTAGCGGTGTGTGTAGTCGGTCGTGTTGTGTAGCGGTGTGTGTAGTCGGTCATGTTGTGTAGCGGTGTGTGTAGTCGGTCATGTTGTGTGGCGGTGTGTGTAGTCGGTCATGTTGTGTAGCGGTGTGTGTAGTCAGTCGTGTTGTGTAGCGGTGTGTGTAGTCGGTCATGTTGTGTGGCAGACGCTCATCAGGCCTTCGCTCCACAGTCCCAGCATCAGCCCCAGTTTATCCTCGTCCTGGAGCTGCAGCTGCGCAGCCGCCACACACTCCGAGTTCATGAGCTGCTTCAGTGCCGACAGATGAGACAGGGGGAACCGCAGACCCTGGAACACACACACACACACACACAGATGAGACAGGGGGAACCGCAACTGATGACACTCAGCCAGAAACATGGAGCGTAACTGGAAGAAAACAAAACTGGAGGTATTTCGCATTTCATGGAAGGATAGCTCGACCGCTTACAGAGAGTTCTTAAAAGCTGCTAGATCTGCTTATTTTTCAACCCTATTAGAAGAACATAAACAAAACCCGACGTATCTATCTGAAACAGTGGCTAAATTAATGAGAAATAAAGCTTCAAGGCCAGAAGTGTCCAAGTAACACAGCAGTAATGACTTCATGAACTTCTTTACTTACAAGATCGATTATCAGGGAGAAAATGATAACTATGCAACCATCAACTACAGTATCCTGATGCGATACCTGAGTGCACTGTAGTCTCCCTGAGGAAAGATTATAATCATTTGCTGCTATAGGAGAAGAAGAATTGTCTAAACTCGTTAAATCATCTAACTAAGCTAATGAAAGAGATGTCATAGATCCTCTTCCAAAAACCTTTAAGCTGGCTATGATTAAAATCTTGACGCATTATAGTCCCTTATGTCTATTGCGATCTCCAAACTCGGGCCAGTTGATCATACCGAGAATATCGAAATCGACTGCAGGCGGGAGATCCTTTTCCTCTTTAGCAGCAAACTCTGCTTCCCGGACAATGTTAGGAAGATTGTTCCAGACACACTCTGGCAGTTCAAATCTAGTTCAAATCTATTCTTCCTCCTCCCCTCCTCCCCCCTTCCTCCTCCTCCTCTCCCTCCTCTCTTCTCCCCCCTTCCTCCTCCTCTTCTTCCTCCTCCCCCTTCCTCCTCTTCCCCCCCCCTTCCTCCTCCTCCCCCCCCTTCCTCCTCCTCCTCCCCTTCCTCCTCTTCCTCCTTCTCCTCTTCTTCCTCCTCCTCCTCCTCTCTTCTTCCTCCTCCTCCTCTTCTTCCTCTTCCTCCTCCTCCCCTTCCTCCTCTTCTCCCCCCCCCCCTTCCTCCTCTTCCTCCCCCTCCCCTTCCTCCTCTTCCTCCCCCTCCCCTTCCTCCTCTTCCTCCCCCCTTCCTCCTCCTCCTCTTCTTCCTCCTCCTCCTCCTCCTCTTCTTCCTCCTCCTCCTCTTCTTCCTCTTCCTCCTCCTCTTCCTCCCCCCAAACTCCCCCCCTTCCTCCTCCTCCTCTTCCTCCTCCTCTTCTAATTGTTATTATTTAAGTCATAGTTTCTGACTAGTCTGCGAGATGTGACGTGGGCTGACGAACCTGTGAGACGACCTCCTCTTCATCATCGTCATCGTCATCATCATCATCATCTTCGTCGTCATCAGATGCTCCCATCATGTGTGTTTCTCTCTTGTTCTTTAAAGAATGCAACACAAACACGACCAGCTCGGTGGCCTCGTCCTGATCAGAGACAAACACAGTGAGGACTTACTACACACACACACACACACACACACACCCCTGGTAAATATGAACACAGGCAGCTGTGAAAATAAATCTGCATTGTTTATCCTTCAGATTTTTCAATCAAAAATATTTCCAATGCAAGTGTGATGTATTGAAGTTTTGAAGTATTTCAAAATGAAGTATACTCCCATTCATATTTACATTAGCACACCAGGGTATGTGTGTGTGTTTGTGTGTGTATAAATATACATGACTTGTGTGTGTGTTTGTGAATATATGTGACTGTGTATATGGATCTATGTGACGTGTGTGTGAAAATATGTGACGTGTGTGTGTGTGTGTGTGAATATATGGTGCTGAAAGCATTCTTTAGAAATGTCGGCCCATATTGATCGGATCGCATCTTGCAGCTGATGGAGATTTGTGGGATGAAGCTCCCGTTCCACCACATCCCAAAGATGCTCTATTGGGTTGAGATCTGGTGACTGTGGCGGCCATTTTAGTACAGTCAACTCATTGACATGTTCAAGAAACCAGTTTGAGATGATTCCAGCTTTGTGACATGGTCATTATCCTGCTGGAAGTAGCCATCAGAGGATGGGCACATGGTGGCCATAAAGGGATGGACATGGGCAGAAACAATGCTCAGGTAGGCCGTGGCATTTAAACGATGCCCAATTGGCACTAAGGGGCCTAAAGTGTGCCAAGAAAACATCCATTACACCATTACACCAACACCACCAGCCTGCACAGTGGGAACAAGACATGATGGATCCATGTTCTCATTCTGTTTACGCCAAATTCTGACTCTACCAACTGAATGAACAACAGAAATCCAGACTCATCAGACCAGGTCCAGTCCAGTCCAGTCTTAAACTGTCCAGTTTTGGTGAGCTCTTGCAGATTGTGGCCTCTTTCTCCTATTTGTAGTGGAGATGAGTGGTACCCGGTGGGGTCTTCTGCTGTCGTAGCCCATCCGCCTCAAGGTTGTGTGTGTTGTGTCTTCTTCACAAATGCTTTGCTGCATACCTCGGTTGTAACGAGTGGTTATTTCAGTCAAAGTTGCTCTTCTATCAGCTTGAATCAGTCGACCTCTGACCTCTCGCATCAACAAGGCATTTCCACCCACAGGACTGACCCATACTGGATGTTTTTCCCTTTTCACGCCATTCTTTGTAAACCCTAGAAATGGTTGTGTGTGAAAATCCCAGTAACTGAGCAGATTGTGAAATACTCAGACACCAACAACCATGCCACGCTCAAAACTGCTCAAATCCCCTTTCTTTCCCATTCTGACATTCAGTTTGGAGTTCAGGAGATTGTCTTGAGCAGGACCACACCGCTAAATGCACTGAAGACACTGCCATGTGATTGGATGATTAGATAATTGCATTAATGAGAAATTGAACAGGTGTTTCTAATAATCCTTTAGGTGAGTGTGTGAGTGTGTGTGTGTGTGTGTGTGTGTGTGTGTGTGTGTGAGAGAGAGAGAGACTTACAGTGTTCTCTTGACTGGGCTCCACTGTTAGAAGAAGATGCTCTTTAAACCGCAAACACACAGTGTCCTCCAGCGACGGCGGTTTCCCAACTGGAAGAGAAACACATTCAGCACACACACACACACACACACACACACACACACACACACACACACAGGTGAGCCTCACCAGGATCAGCGCCGGCTCGGTCCTCCAGGAAGGGTGGCAGTCGGTGGCAGACGAAGTCTCTCTTCATCGCACTGGAGCGCAAGTCCTGATCCCCCCGCTCGACATCATCAGCCACACGCCGCAGGAACACACACACCTGCTTATTCACCTCAGCAGCCACGCTGGAAGACTGACACACACACACACTCTTAGAGTCACTGTTACAGGTGAGTGTGTGAGAGAGTAGTGTGTGTGTGTGTGAGGAGTGTGTGTGTGTGAGTACTGTGGGTGTGTGTGTGTGAGTAGTGTGTATGTCTGTGAGTACTGTGTGTGTGTGTGTGTGTGTGTGTGAGTACTGTGTGTGTGTGTGTGAGGAGTGTGTGTGTGTGTGAGTACTGTGTGTGTGTGTGTGTGTGTGTGAGTAGTGTGTATGTGTGTGAGTACTGTGTATGTGTGTGAGTACTGTGTGTGTGTGTGTGAGTACTGTGTATGTGTGTGAGTAGTGTGTATGTGTGTGAGTACTGTGTGTGTATGTGTGTGAGTACTGTGTGTGTGTGTGTGAGTACTGTGTATGTGTGTGAGTAGTGTGTATGTGTGTGAGTACTGTGTATGTGTGTGAGTACTGTGTGTGTGTGTGTGTGTGTGTGTGTGAGTAGTGTGTGTGTGTGTGAGTAGTGTGTATGTGTGTGAGTACTGTGTGTGTGTGTGTGTGTGTGTGTGAGTAGTGTGTATGTGTGTGAGTACTGTGTGTGTTTGTGTGTGTGTGAGTACTGTGTGTGTGTGTGTGTGTGTGAGTAGTGTGTATGTGTGTGAGTACTGTGTGTGTGTGAGTAGTGTGTGTGTGTGAGGAGTGTGTGTGCTCACCGTGAGGACGTTACGAGGAAGACCGCAGCGCATCCCGTGTTCACGTCTCATGCTGTCTAACACACACCCGGGAAACACGTCCAGCATGAAGTCGCCCCACGACCTAAAACACACACACACGTTTATATCTAACACACACTCCTGATAGTCGCTGCGGGTCGAACCGGAGTGCTCAGAAACACCGAGTCATGAACGAGTTTCCATGTGTACAAAGTGTATCACCATTATAATGTTTGACATGCGTATTCCTGCTTAAAGGGTTAGTTCACCCAAAAATTAAAATTAAGTCATTAATTACTCACCCCCATGCTGTACCAACCCCGTAAGACCTTCGTTCGTCTTCGGAACACAAATGAAGATATTTTTGATTAAATTTGAGAGCTGTATAACTACCACATTGGCTCCTAAGGGACTGGCTCTTGACGGCCCAGAAAGTCAATGAAGAAAATGTTTAAATATCCCAAGTGACTACAGTGGCTCAACTATATGTTTATCAAGCGACGCCAATACTTTTTGTGCGAAAAAAACAAACAAAAATAACGAGTTTATTCGACTATTTCTTTTCTTCCTTGTTGGCCTGAAACGAGACTTCCTTAGATTTCCACGACGCATGCGCGAGAATTGCGATCTGCTTACACCAGCTTACACTACTTCAGTTCAGTTCTCGCGCATGCGTCGTGGAAATCTAAGGAAGTCTCGTTTCAGGCCTACAAGGAAGAAAAGAAATAGTCGAATAAACTCGTTATACAGCTCAAATTTAATCAAAAATATCTTCATTTGTGTTCCGAAGACGAACGAAGGTCTTACGGGGTTGGTACAGCATGGGGGTGAGTAATTAATGACTTAATTTTCATTTTTGGGTGAACTAACCCTTTAAAGACAGTGTGTGTCACACACACACACACACACACACAGACACACACACAGACTCAGCGACCCGCGGAGTGTGTTCAGATAAAGCATAAATCTGAGGACGTTCATCGTAGATTTGTGTCGTGTGATTAGACTCAAACTCGTGATGTTAGCTTTCACACACACACACACACACACACACACACATTACTTCAGCTAAACTCTTTAAAACATGTTTTACAATCCAGAAACGATATAAATAATCAAACTCTCGCGGGGATTCATTTTAATATTTGAGAACTGTTTAATATTAAAGCAGAGATTGTAGAAGCATGTTACAGAGCACTTCCAGAGTGTGTGTGTGTGTGTGTGTGTGTGTACGCACATGTTCTGGTAGGTGCTGAGTGTGAGGTGTGTGGACCGCTCCACGTCTGCAGGAGTGTCGGCCTGGTGAATCGTTCCTCGGGGGAAATACAGCAAATCTCCAGCCTGCAGGAAACCAAACGAGGCGTTAGTGTAGAGCTTCTCAACCCACACACACACACACACACACACACGAGCAGGACACTCGAGAACAGCAGTCACGCCCCTGCCGATTGGCCTCTCAGCCCGTGATGTCACTGACCTGCAGGGTGAGGTCGTGTGTGGGGGGGCCGATGCGCTGCTCGGGCTCCAGGCTGTACTCGCGGGCCAGGGGGACGGTGGGCTGGTAAAGCCTCCAGTGTTTCTGTCCCTCCAGCTGGAGGATGAACACCTGAACACATAAACACGGGCCAGCAGAACGTCATGAGCAAACTGTGACCGCAGACGCTAAACACACACGAGAGCACACACACACACACACACCTCCACGTCGTCGTAGTGCGGCGGCAGACCCTGAGAGCCCCGAGGCGTGATGTAGACGTTGGATCCGACCAGCGACCCAAAGAAGCACTCCAGCCGCTCCTGAATACGCCACAGCTCGTCCTGTGAACACACGCGACCGGTCAACACACGCGACCCCCAACTCTGACCTGTGTTTGTTTGCGCGAACTCTGACCTTGAACCTCTGAGGCTGGTGCAGCTGTATGGTGGCTCTGCTCTCCTCCAGGTCCTTCTTCAGCTGGCTGAACTTCACCTCGCCGTCTTTATTCAGCACTCTCTTCTGGCCGTCCACGCAGCGGCACACGTTGAGGTCTCGGGCGTAGCGCAGGCCGCGAGCGCACAGCTGCCTGACGTCGGACAGCTGGAACAGCGAGTGGAAGTACGAGGCCAGAGCCGGATCGTTGCGCTGCAGGACCAGTGGCTTCTGCTCCCAGTACTGAAGGAAGAACTGGTCCAGGCTGACCGGACTGATCAGACTCTGGAAGAAATCCCTCGGAGAGTCGAAGCACAGCGGGTTCCCCATCTTCATCTGCTTCACAGGTACATCCTCCTCCTGTCCATCACACTTCTTCACTCTTCTGCCCTTCTTTGGCATCTCTGCAGCATAAATATCAGAATATAACTATGCTGCGCTGACTAGATAGCTTGCAGATTATTCTGGAATTTCTGTCAAAAACAGCCTATTTTCACGGTGTAAAACATGCAATACGCTTCAAACGATTATTCATAAATGTGTATGTGCACAATATAGAACAGAACAGCAGTCGCATCTGTCGTCCTCTCCTCCGCCACGTCTACAGTTTAGGACACGATCAACTCGGGTCTCAAAATGATCTTCCAGTTTCCCAGTAGTAAATACGACCTTCATGTCCAGTTCCTACTAGAAAACTAGTTTTGCAACAAATCCAATTCATAGCACGTCAAAGCAGAATTAATAACCATTAATTCTTGCCACTGTGAAGAAACTACAAGAGTGAGAATGAATGTTCATAATTAACGTACAGCACAGATGAAGCTTAAAATAATGGCAGGCTTTTAACCATTCATTCAGTTCATGCATTCGTCATCACAAAATAACCGATTAGTCCAGTTTAATTTATTCAGTGTATGGAAAAGTGTCAACACAAGTGACAGAATGAGGGAGAATTAAGGTGTGCAAAAACTAATAATACAATTTATTGATTTACTTTTTATTGTATTTTAAAAATGCAGTGTCAAATTAAAATACAAAATGCAATTGAAGATTTGACATTTTATTATTATCTATTATTTAATAGAAAATGCAAAGGAAACGGTAAAGTGCATATAAAATGCTAACACAACAATAGTGACAAGCTTCAAATTAAAGCGTTGTTTAGTTTTCCTCTTTCTTTAATTTATGGATTAAATTTCAAAACCTAAGACAACCAGATATATTTAGAGTTTCGAAATAATTTAACACATAAAAGGAGAGTAAGATTTAATCGTATACTTGTTATCCAAATCAGACAGACGGATCCGTCGTAATTTATATGCCAGTAAATAACTCATTCGCAGTGGAAGTACAGACAAACACGTTCCTTACCGACAGCATCACAGGCGCACGTGCAATGACGGTGTCACACTTCAAACGCTCCGGGTGGAAACATAAAAATCCTTCCTGGATTTTTAAATCAAGTTCATTATCGTAGCAACCACAATCTCAGTAAAATACGTGGCGTATGACGATTATACAGATTGTGTTGCTGATTTGAAATATGTAATTTAGTTGGGAGTTCGGGAAGCAGTTTTTGAGATGACAGGGTTCCCCATCTCAATATATGGCTCTGTTGTCCACTGCCGGAACCATCGGCTGCTGTTCGCGCGACACCGGGAGGAATTGGAGGTTGCGCTGTATGTATACATGAAAACCACTAATGCGAGGTGAGAGTGAATTACGCTCGTATTCGCTTTCATTAATGTTTTTACTTCTGTGTTGTAAACATTCTTAACGTAATTGATGTATGTGTGCCAGTTTTGGTCTGCTTTAATCAACCGAACTATAAAAGAGCGTTTAACAAACTGCGAGTCTTAAGTTTGATAATATCGAGTCCAGATTAATACATTCATAAACATTTTAGAGCGTGCAGTTTCTACAGTTTATGGTCGTGATTCTGCAAAAGAAGTAAAGAGACGTGTGGGTTTCGGTCACTGCTCTTTCTCAGACGTTAGCTGGTCTGCAGGATGTCTTCAGTGATTCCACAAGGGTTTCAGAGCAGCAAACAGGACTTCCGGTTCGGCCCGTGGACCGTCACCGCCGTCAGGACTCACATCATGAAGTCCAAAGATATCGAGAGGTGAGGGATGCTGGAGAAATGAGATTGAACTGAGATTCTGACCATCATTTACTACCTCATGTTGTTCCAAACTGTTCTGGGAGATATTTTTAAGAATGTTAGTGGGCTCCATTCACTCATATAGCATGCAGAAAAAGCTAAAGAAAGAAACTCATACAGGTCTGGAACAAATTCAGGGTGAGTAAATGGTGACAGAATTTTTATTTTGGGGTGTACTGGCCCTTTAAAGGATTAGTTTTCTTTTTCAAAAAACTGTTGCTGATAATTTACTCTCCCCCGTGTCATCCAAGATGTCCATGTCTTTCTTTCTTCAGTCGAAAAGAAATTAAGGTTTTTGATGAACATTCCAGGATTTTCTCCATATAATGGACTTCAATGGGGTCCAAACGGTTCAAGGTCCAAAAGAAACTTTCAGTACAAACTTGTTCAAAGGGTTTTAAACGATTCCAGACGATGATTTTAAATTAACAAAGTTTAAGTTTTATAAGATCAAACGCTCGCCTTGCTCTGTTCTGTGGTGCACGTTCGTGGCTCTCCTGTTCGAACTCGTTCAACAAAATTAACAAATCTTTTTCCGAATCAATTCGTTCGTTTCTTTCGCCGAATGAACCAAATGACGCGGAAAAAGATTTGTTCATTTTGATGAACGAGTTCGAACAGGAGTGTGTTACAGAACAGAGCAAGGCGAGCGTTTGAGCTTATAAAACTTAAACTTTGTTATTTATTTATAAAACGAGCGATCGTTTCGCTTGATAAGACCCTTATTCATCGTCTGGTGTCGTTTAAAGCCCTTTGAACAAGGTTGCAGTTTGTACTTAAAGTTTCTTTTGAACCTTGAACCGTTTGGTTCCCATTGAAGTCCATTATATGGAGAAAATCCTGGAATGTTTTCATCAAAAACCTTAATTTCTTTTCGACTGAAGAAATAAAGACATGGACATCTTGGACGACACGGGGTGAGTAAATTATCAGCTAAAGGATTTTTAAAAGTGAACTACTCCTTAATATGATGACTGACATTAGGGCGATCTTCCCAATTTTGAGATTTACTATAGAGAATATCCAGACTGAAACAAGCCTGTGGACTTTATCTTTATCTCTTATTATTTCTTTTGATTATTTTAAAGGGTGGGTTGACTGCTTTTTTTCTTTGCATGATTGTATTTATGGGGTGCAATATACCATGTATTGTGATGGATTTTCACGATTAAAGGGTTAGTTCACCCAAAAATGAAAATTAAGTCATTAATTACTCACCCCCATGCTGTACCAACCCCGTAAGACCTTCGTTCGTCTTCGGAACACAAATGAAGATATTTTTGATTAAATTTGAGAGCTGTATAACTACCACATTGGCTCCTAAGGGACTGCCTCTTGACGGCCCAGAAAGTCAATGAAGAAAATGTTTAAATATCCCAAGTGACTACAGTGGCTCAACTATATGTTTATCAAGCGACGCGAATACTTTTTGTGCGAAAAAACAAACAAAAATAACGAGTTTATTCGACTATTTCTTTTCTTCCTTGTAGGCCTGAAACGAGACTTCCTTAGATTTCCACGACGCATGCGCGAGAACTGCGATCTGAAGTAGTGTAAGCTGGTGTAAGCAGATCGCAATTCTCGCGCATGCGTCGTGGAAATCTAAGGAAGTCTCGTTTCTGGCCTACAAGGAAGAAAAGAAATAGTCGAATAAACTCGTTATTTTTGTTTGTTTTTTTCGCACAAAAAGTATTCGCGTCGCTTGATAAACATAGTTGAGCCACGGTAGTCACTTGGGATATTTAAACATTTTCTTCACTGACTTTCTGGGCCGTTAGTTTAATATAGAGTCTAGGCCTTCAGAAAAAAAATATTTTTTGAAGAAAATTAGCACCATCTGGTTACAGTATAGAGAAAAAGCGTAGAATCATGGAGGATTTGAATATATAGTTAAAACAATCTCAAAAACTATTTCTTATAAAAAAATGACAAACAAATATTCACAATTTTTTTTTCTTTTTTTTTTACAACTTCCCATTCATTTCCTATGAGGTCATTTTTGACCAAAGACCACAAGTGTGACTATTTTTTTTAAGACCACTTAGCATGCTCAGATCATGACCTCAATTTTTTTGTGTGTTCACATACATAATGCCATAAAAGTCACCAAGTTTCATAACATCGCGATGAAGCTGTGATTTTTAAAAATTCAAAACATACTTTTTGTAATCAAAATTTATTGGTGTGTATGTGTATAAAAGTGTGTTTGTATGTGTGTGTGTGTTGGTGGGTGTGTCTGTTTTGCACTCTAGATGTTGTAGAGTGTCACCCCTTTCTTGCGGTGTACTTTTTTTTTTTAGAATTGTGGCCGATTTGTAGATTGTGCATACAAAAATTCCGATGAAGCTGTGATTTTTAAAATTTCAAAACAGAAAATTTTTCGGAGAGCACCTGAGGGTTAACACATCACATTAACTTTTAAATATTCATCATGTCCATTATATCCAATAACTCAGACAGGTCTTTCATACGTGTCTTGGAATAGAGCGTGTCTTTAATAACTCTAGTTGGAATAGAGCGCGTCTTTGATAACTCTAGTTGGAATAGAGCGCGTCTTTATTAACTCTAGTTGGAATAGAGCGCGTCTTTAATAACTCTAGTTGGAACAGAGCGTGTCTTTAATAACTCTAGTTGGAATAGAGCGCGTCTTTATTAACTCTAGTTGGAATAGAGCGTGTCTTTAATAACTCTAGTTGGAATAGAGCGCGTCTTTAATAACTCTAGTTGGAATAGAGCGCGTCTTTAATAACTCTAGTTGGAATAGAGCGTGTCTTTAATAACTCTAGTTGGAATAGAGCGCGTCTTTAATAACTCTAGTTGGAATAGAGCGCGTCTTTATTAACTCTAGTTGGAATAGAGCGCGTCTTTGATAACTCTAGTTGGAATAGAGCGCGTCTTTAATAACTCTAGTTGGAATAGAGCGCGTCTTTATTAACTCTAGTTGGAATAGAGCGCGTCTTTAATAACTCTAGTTGGAATAGAGCGCGTCTTTATTAACTCTAGTTGGAACAGAGCGCGTCTTTAATAACTCTAGTTGGAATAGAGCGCGTCTTTAATAACTCTAGTTGGAATAGAGCGCGTCTTTAATAACTCTAGTTGGAATAGAGCGCGTCTTTATTAACTCTAGTTGGAATAGAGCGTGTCTTTAATAACTCTAGTTGGAATAGAGCGCGTCTTTATTAACTCTAGTTGGAATAGAGCGTGTCTTTATTAACTCTAGTTGGAATAGAGCGTGTCTTTAATAACTCTAGTTGGAATAGAGCGCGTCTTTAATAACTCTAGTTGGAATAGAGCGCGTCTTTAATAACTCTAGTTGGAATAGAGCGCGTCTTTAATAACTCTAGTTGGAATAGAGCGTGTCTTTATTAACTCTAGTTGGAATAGAGCGTGTCTTTAATAACTCTAGTTGGAATAGAGCGCGTCTTTATTAACTCTAGTTGGAATAGAGCGTGTCTTTATTAACTCTAGTTGGAATAGAGCGCGTCTTTATTAACTCTAGTTGGAATAGAGCGCGTCTTTAATAACTCTAGTTGGAATAGAGCGCGTCTTTAATAACTCTAGTTGGAATAGAGCGCGTCTTTTTTAACTCTAGTTGGAATAGAGCGCGTCTTTATTAACTCTAGTTGGAATAGAGCGCGTCTTTATTAACTCTAGTTGGAATAGAGCGCGTCTTTATTAACTCTAGTTGGAATAGAGCGCGTCTTTATTAACTCTAGTTGGAATAGAGCGCGTCTTTATTAACTCTAGTTGGAATAGAGCGCGTCTTTATTAACTCTAGTTGGAATAGAGCGCGTCTTTGATAACTCTAGTTGGAATAGAGCGCGTCTTTATTAACTCTAGTTGGAATAGAGCGCGTCTTTAATAACTCTAGTTGGAATAGAGCGCGTCTTTAATAACTCTAGTTGGAATAGAGCGCGTCTTTATTAACTCTAGTTGGAATAGAGCGCGTCTTTATTAACTCTAGTTGGAATAGAGCGCGTCTTTGATAACTCTAGTTGGAATAGAGCGCGTCTTTATTAACTCTAGTTGGAATAGAGCGCGTCTTTAATAACTCTAGTTGGAATAGAGCGCGTCTTTATTAACTCTAGTTGGAATAGAGCGCGTCTTTAATAACTCTAGTTGGAATAGAGCGTGTCTTTATTAACTCTAGCTGGAATAGAGCGCGTCTTTAATAACTCTAGTTGGAACAGAGCGCGTCTTTAATAACTCTAGTTGGAATAGAGCGCGTCTTTAATAACTCTAGTTGGAATAGAGCGCGTCTTTAATAACTCTAGTTGGAATAGAGCGCGTCTTTAATAACTCTAGTTGGAATAGAGCGCGTCTTTAATAACTCTAGTTGGAATAGAGCGTGTCTTTATTAACTCTAGCTGGAATAGAGCGCGTCTTTAATAACTCTAGTTGGAACAGAGCGTGTCTTTAATAACTCTAGTTGGAATAGAGCGCGTCTTTAATAACTCTAGTTGGAATAGAGCGCGTCTTTATTAACTCTAGTTGGAATAGAGCGCGTCTTTATTAACTCTAGTTGGAATAGAGCGCGTCTTTAATAACTCTAGTTGGAATAGAGCGCGTCTTTATTAACTCTAGTTGGAATAGAGCGCGTCTTTATTAACTCTAGTTGGAATAGAGCGCGTCTTTATTAACTCTAGTTGGAATAGAGCGCGTCTTTAATAACTCTAGTTGGAATAGAGCGCGTCTTTAATAACTCTAGTTGGAATAGAGCGCGTCTTTAATAACTCTAGTTGGAATAGAGCGCGTCTTTAATAACTCTAGTTGGAATAGAGCGTGTCTTTATTAACTCTAGTTGGAATAGAGCGCGTCTTTATTAACTCTAGTTGGAATAGAGCGCGTCTTTAATAACTCTAGTTGGAATAGAGCGCGTCTTTATTAACTCTAGTTGGAATAGAGCGCGTCTTTGATAACTCTAGTTGGAATAGAGCGCGTCTTTAATAACTCTAGTTGGAATAGAGCGCGTCTTTAATAACTCTAGTTGGAATAGAGCGTGTCTTTATTAACTCTAGCTGGAATAGAGCGCGTCTTTAATAACTCTAGTTGGAACAGAGCGTGTCTTTAATAACTCTAGTTGGAATAGAGCGCGTCTTTAATAACTCTAGTTGGAATAGAGCGCGTCTTTATTAACTCTAGTTGGAATAGAGCGCGTCTTTATTAACTCTAGTTGGAATAGAGCGCGTCTTTAATAACTCTAGTTGGAATAGAGCGCGTCTTTATTAACTCTAGTTGGAATAGAGCGCGTCTTTATTAACTCTAGTTGGAATAGAGCGCGTCTTTATTAACTCTAGTTGGAATAGAGCGCGTCTTTAATAACTCTAGTTGGAATAGAGCGCGTCTTTAATAACTCTAGTTGGAATAGAGCGCGTCTTTAATAACTCTAGTTGGAATAGAGCGTGTCTTTAATAACTCTAGTTGGAATAGAGCGCGTCTTTAATAACTCTAGTTGGAATAGAGCGCGTCTTTATTAACTCTAGTTGGAATAGAGCGCGTCTTTGGGCTTTTGGGCTTTAAGGAGGGGTGGAAGACAGCGCTTTAAAGGAAAGGAACATGCGGCACAATGATCATCTTGATTATCACATTTTCGTTATCGCTGGAAGCCGAAATCTGAACCGAAACTAAACTGTGATTCACCGCAGACCCAGCTGATGTTCAAGGGAGAGACCGGTCACATGATGTAATCTGGCCAGTTGGCCGTTGCTGTATCTGAACAAGGATGATGATGAAGATTGATGGATGATGTTGTTGATGATGATGACGGTGTTGATGATATAAGCTCATGACGTGTGTGTCGCAGGCTGGCGGAGACGATGCACATGCCGGCTCTGCCAGAGATGCTGTTCGGGGAGAACGTGTTGCGCATTCAGCACAGCGACGGCTTCGGGATCGAGTTCAACGCCATCGACGCGCTCAAACGTGTCAACAACATGCAGGACTCTGTGAAGGTGGCCTGTGCCCAGGAGTGGCAGGACAGCAGGTATAGTGTATACTTCGCCAGAGCGCCTAAAGAGAGGCTTTGACACTGGAGAATCTGTGCGTGTGCAGGGATTAAAGTTCTCCGTCGCTACGACGGATTTCCGTTAATTGCAGCGAGTCTATGACGGATATCCATCAATTGCAGGGTTCCCGTCTGTCTTTATGTCTTAAATTAACTTTTCATAATTTTAAGGCCGTAAATAGGCTTTCATTTCGCAAACAGTGTGATAAATGTCTTAATTTTAGTTGGAATAGGTCTTAAATTAAGGAAAGATGATGCGTATTCACCCTGCTGAGGGGGGGTGTGATAAAGCCTGGAGTGGAGCAAAAGCACTAGTGATGGCCGGTTCGTGAACGAATCGTTCTTTTGAACCGGTTCTTTTTAGTGAACCGGTCGAACCAGTACACTAAATCGGACTGAATCGTTCGAAACAGTTCGCGTCTTGCGTCAGCGGTAAACCACAAGTTACTAAAGTTACTCACTTTCAGACATGCCTGACAGTCCCTCCGAATCTAAATAAACCAATATCCATTAGTACATTTTATTCAGTAACTCAAAAAGTTCACTGAACGGAGACATATGTTGGTGCTGAGAGAAGCGATGAGCACGAGCAGCTGATACTGCGCATGCGTGTACTACCGAACATACAGGTACAGCGGTCGGATAACCAGTACAGAACCGAGAACTGTTTCTTTCGGACACGTTCGACATATTGAGAACTGATGAGTTGATGAGCTGAGCATGCGTGCATTTTTTTTCTGAGGGACGAAATGTACGTTTCCATGTCTTTAGTTGAACATATCAGTAAGTGTAACAAAATAAAACATTTTGGAAACATGTTTATCACATTACTGTATCACTGTATTATTTTAACGATTGGAAATAATGATTGGATTCTAAAACTGTTTAACTACTAAACATTTATTATACTAAAATAATATTTTCAGGAACAGCTCATTTAATTTCTAAGTAACAATATAAATCATTGATGTAAACTCTTGCCAAGGTTTGGTGCACTGCTTAGTAAATAATGTGTTAACATAAAGAATTAAACATATATGTTTAATTCGTTATGTTAACACATTATAAACATGATGTATACTGTATAGGCTACAGAAGGCTATATTGGAGACAGACATGCATCGATTTTTTAGTTTTGTCGACTGTATATTCAGGTTTCAGCTCAGCACACAGCTATGGTTCTCGAGTCGAGAACTGGTTGTTGCAGTTCTTGAATCACTAGTACAGAACCGAGAACTGTTTCTTTCGGACACGTTCGATACGGAGAACCGATGAGCTGGAGATACTGCGCATGCGTGATAGCACCGTCTCTGAACAGAACTTTCTTTCGGCCGGCTGATCCTGTGCTGATACATGAGCACGCAGTAGTACGGGTGAACCCAGGACTTAAATGAGAGGGCGAATCGGCGAAATGTAAGTTTATTTAATAACAAATAAAATGATGAAGACCATTTATGCATTTTATATATTTAAAACATGTAAAACATCCGCGTTAGCACATCGCCTAGGCTGCAGCAGGGTTCGTTTTCAAAATGTAAATGTAAGAAACTTATCCAAGATGATTATGACAATGCATACTATTATTTAACTGAAGTTGTGATTACAAATGCCTTTAATTTGAAGTATTTTTATCCGCCGGGATGATAGAATTGACGTCATTACGTGATGACGTAAAAGAACTGGTGAACCGGTTTTTTGAACCGGTTCATTAAAACGAACTGTCTGAAAGAACCGGTTCGCGGAAAAGAACCGGACTTCCCATCACTAAAAAGCACGTTCCTCTCTCCACTCTAAGCATTCTGTAATCACTTTGCTTATGGTCCACTCCGGTTTTTCAATTCCCGCTCACGGAAAAACTGCTCCCTGCCTTTTCACTCAATCTTGTCAGGCGAGGCTAGCTCGTTTGCTGCGGTCCCATGATAGAAAACCGAACGCGGGTCAATATTGGTCGTTTCTCAATACCAGGTACGCAAACTTCGGACTTGCGTCCTTGATAGTTCGGACTTGCCAAGTTCGACTCGGGGGAACGAACTCCCGAGGACGAGAAGACGCTGCTAACAGCGCGTTCTTGATCGCGTCACTCAGCACGCGGCTACTCCGGTTATCAACTACCTTTTTTCATCAACACCACTGTGCCTCTTTTCATTTATAAATGAACATAATTATTATCATAAACATATAAATGGCCACACAAATGTGGTTCAGGCAACGCACTTTGATTATCATATATTTATAACAACACGAAATATAGCTAAAACACAAACCTGCTTCTTTTTGTTTTCATTTTAAAAATATATAACATTATTTATCATTAAAACTGACATTTAACAAACAGACAGGGTTGTATCGTTTTATTGTATTATGCGTACACATACAGTGAAGAGAATGCATAGTAATATAATATTTTATATATTTTAGAAAATCTTGTCTCTTTTTTGTTAAATGTCAGTTTTAATGCTAATATCCCGTTCAAAAGTATAAGTAGCCTAATAGTAGCCAGTTAAACATAAGTCAGCTCTTTAATAGGCTACAAAGTTAAAGTTAAATAGCCTACATAATAAAATTATGAAACTTCACTTTGCCCTCAGCCAAAACAATTTGCCATGGCACAAACTATATATTAATATAGTTTAGCATTGTTTGGTCTCATAAGATAAATAAAAACATGCACTGAAAAGTTATGTATATGGTTGATTATTTGTCAAGATAAGTAATTGTTTTTCATAGATTAAAATAGCTTTTAAATTACGCAAACTGGCAATATTAGATCGGTTTTTAACATCTCCCCTTAAAACGCTATTGGTCTCGACTATTTAAATAAAGTTACAGGAATATGACTTGGCCTGAAAAAAATTTCAGTCAGAAGAATTTTTTTCACTTTAATCCCTGTGTGTGTGTGTGTGTTCAGGGCCGACTCAGAGCATTCGAAGGACGTGGTGAAGCGCTACGATTGGACTTACACAACCGACTACAGAGGGACTTTACTGGGAGAGCACATGCAGATGAAGGTATTCTGTGCTTTAACTCTGACCAGCTGCATGTGGAGCGTCTCTGACTCAGAAGAGCTTGTATGATCAGCAATATTCTGCTCTGTGCATCGACACCATTACCAGAGAGCTGAACTGAGCTGGACGATGACATCACGGTTTGTCCAGAGCGTCGCCCCCGACGTTCACATATTTAAGAGAAAAAAAAGCATATGTATCCCATATTGACCACTACCGTTGACTTAAGACAGGTGTAATGAATTAGTTGACTAAACGAGTGCTCTCTTGCTCCGGCTGCTTTTCTGGGAGTAATCCGATGTGCTCAAATGAAATTTCGGCCAATCCATTCAAACGATCTGTTTTCATGCACACGTTCTGAACTGTCGCACTGAATTCATTCCGATCGATGAATCCCAATGTAGTGTTTTCATGAACACTAAATAATGTGTTCAGGGTTGATGTCTGTGTTTATAAGTCACAAGCTTCAAATCGAAATGTATTTTTGACGTGTGCTCACTGCACGAATATACAGAGTTTCCCGATGTTTGCGCATAATAACTATTCTTCTAGATTGATTCTTTATTTGTTTTAAACAGCAGACTTAATATCCGTCTCTGGTCATAATATGAGCCGTTGTCCCGTGCTGCCTTATATTTTATCATCACGCAGTAAAACTGTCCAAAACCAGTGGTGTGTGTATAAGAGTCTGAAGCGGCACTTATTTCTATTTTTCAGCTATTTCTACATCATTACGCTATTTCTATGTCATTAGGCTATTTCTTCATCATTACGCTATTCCATTATGAAAGTTAGCCAATCAAGTTTAAAATAAATTTCAAGAGTCAAGGAATCTCACAGGGGTTCAAACTAGGCTAGTGTATTGTATATGTTTGATTTATGTTGAAGTATTTGTGACATTTCTTTAATGTTTTTTAATGTTGAAACTTTTCTTTATGTATTCAGGCTATCAAAGTATATAAAAAATGTACGGCTTTCAAATGTAAAGAGTTATCTGTAGCCAACATTTTCATATCGGTGCATCCCTTATATAACTATATATAAATAACTTTTTTACAGCAGAAATGAAGCATCACTGAACTGACTTAAGCTGGACTGAAACTCTGTTGTATTATTTTCCTGTTATCCCTGTAAAGCTGCTCTGAAACGCTCTGTGTTGTAAAAGTGCAGTATAAATAACAGACTTGACGTGAACAGGTGATGCCGACCACCGACCGCATCGACATGGAGAAGCTGAAGGCGCGAGAACAGATCCAGTTCTTCGAGGAAGTGCTGCTGTTCGAGGACGAGCTGCATGATCACGGAGTGTCTATGATCAGTGTCAAAATCGTGAGTGTTCCCGGCTTGATTTTCAGATGTGCAGCATTATTGGTTAGTAAAGCGATGTGTGTTTTCAGAGAGTGATGCCCACCAGCTTCTTCCTCCTGCTGCGGTTCTTTCTGCGAGTGGATGGAGTGATGATCAGGATCAACGACACCCGTCTTTATCACGAGGCAAGACGCCGTTGAATGCTTTAATGTTCAAATATGATTTCAGTGGTTTCTAAACTTATTTGTTCTGCAGGCTGGAAGAAACCACATGCTTCGAGAATTCAGCACACGTGAAAGTAAAATACCAGATCTTCAGGTGAGTCTGCTTTTTCTGCTTAAGAAATACTTGTGTTTCCTAATGGTTTACTCAACCTCAGGCCATCCAAGACTCTCTTTCCTCAGCTGGAGAGAAATTAAAGACACAGTTCATCCAAATATATATTCTGTCATCTTTTACTCGCCCTCATGTTGTTCTAGTCCTGTATGGGTTTCTTTCTTCTGTAGCTGCTTAACAAGATAACACTCACACAGCCGTGTCCTTTACACTACAGTTTAACAGCCTTGTAGCCAAAGGAACAAAAGAGTTTTTATTGCGGTTCTAAACCTTGGGATACAAAAATATCGACCCAATGGAAGTGGTTCGACTTCTGGAAAAAGCACATAAGAGGCCAGAGTCATTATCCTAACCCTTCGTTTAAAAATATATATTTTTTAAAGATTCCTCCAGACGGTGTTGAGGGTAAACCCTAACCCAGCGGAGAAAAAAAACTGCAAACTCCTCCAGGCGGTGTTGAGGCTAAACCCTAACCCAGCGGAGGATCGAAACCGCGTACTCCTTCAGGCGGTGTAGAGGTGAAACCCTAACCCACCAGAGGGACGAAACCGCAAACTGCTCCAGGCGGTGTTGAGGGTAAACCCTAACCCAGCGGAGGAACGAAACCGCGGACTTCTCCAGGCGGTGTAGAGGTGAAACCCTAACCCACCAGAGGAACGAAACCGCGGACTCCTCCAGGCGGTGTTGAGGGTAAACCCTAACCCACCAGAGGAACGAAACCGCGGACTCCTCCAGGCGGTGTAGAGGTGAAACCCTAACCCACCAGAGGGACGAAACCGCAAACTGCTCCAGGCGGTGTTGAGGGTAAACCCTAACCCAGCGGAGGAACGAAACCGCGGACTCCTCCAGGCGGTGTAGAGGTGAAACCCTAACCCACCAGAGGGACGAAACCGCAAACTCCTCCAGGCGCTGTTGAGGGTAAACCCTAACCCACCAGAGGAACGACACCGCGGACTCCTCCAGGCGCTGTTGAGGGTAAACCCTAACCCACCAGAGGAACGACACCGCGGACTCCTCCAGGCGGTGTTGAGGGTAAACCCTAACCCACCAGAGGAACGACACCGCGGACTCCTCCAGGCGGTGTTGAGGTTAAACCCTAACCCACCAGAGGAACGACACCGCGGACTCCTCCAGGCGGTGTTGAGGGTAAACCCTAACCCACCAGAGGAACGACACCGCGGACTCCTCCAGGCGGTGTTGAGGTTAAACCCTAACCCACCAGAGGAACGACACCGCGGACTCCTCCAGGCGGTGTTGAGGGTAAACCCTAACCCACCAGAGGAACGACACCGCGGACTCCTCCAGGCGGTGTTGAGGTTAAACCCTAACCCACCAGAGGAACGACACCGTGGACTCCTCCAGGCGGTGTTGAGGGTAAACCCTAACCCAGCGGAGGAACGAAACCGCGGACTCCTCCAGGCGGTGTTGAGGGTAAACCCTAACCCAGCGGAGGAACGAAACCGTGGACTCCTCCAGGCGCTGTTGAGGGTAAACCCTAACCCACCAGAGGAACGACACCGCGGACTCCTCCAGGCGGTGTAGAGGTGAAACCCTAACCCACCAGAGGGACGAAACCGCAAACTCCTCCAGGCGCTGTTGAGGGTAAACCCTAACCCACCAGAGGAACGACACCGCGGACTCCTCCAGGCGCTGTTGAGGGTAAACCCTAACCCAGCGGAGGAACGAAACCGCGGACTCCTCCAGGCGGTGTTGAGGTTAAACCCTAACCCACCAGAGGAACGACACCGCGGACTCCTCCAGGCGGTGTTGAGGTTAAACCCTAACCCACCAGAGGAACGACACCGCGGACTCCTCCAGGCGGTGTTGAGGGTAAACCCTAACCCACCAGAGGAACGACACCGCGGACTCCTCCAGGCGGTGTTGAGGTTAAACCCTAACCCACCAGAGGAACGACACCGCGGACTCCTCCAGGCGGTGTTGAGGGTAAACCCTAACCCACCAGAGGAACGACACCGCGGACTCCTCCAGGCGGTGTTGAGGTTAAACCCTAACCCACCAGAGGAACGACACCGTGGACTCCTCCAGGCGGTGTTGAGGGTAAACCCTAACCCAGCGGAGGAACGAAACCGCGGACTCCTCCAGGCGGTGTTGAGGGTAAACCCTAACCCAGCGGAGGAACGAAACCGTGGACTCCTCCAGGCGCTGTTGAGGGTAAACCCTAACCCACCAGAGGAACGACACCGCGGACTCCTCCAGGCGCTGTTGAGGGTAAACCCTAACCCAGCGGAGGAACGAAACCGCGGACTCCTCCAGGCGGTGTTGAGGTTAAACCCTAACCCACCAGAGGAACGACACCGCGGACTCCTCCAGGCGGTGTTGAGGGTAAACCCTAACCCACCAGAGGAACGACACCGCGGACTCCTCCAGGCGGTGTTGAGGTTAAACCCTAACCCACCAGAGGAACGACACCGCGGACTCCTCCAGGCGGTGTTGAGGTTAAACCCTAACCCACCAGAGGAACGACACCGCGGACTCCTCCAGGCGGTGTTGAGGGTAAACCCTAACCCACCAGAGGAACGACACCGCGGACTCCTCCAGGCGGTGTTGAGGTTAAACCCTAACCCACCAGAGGAACGACACCGCGGACTCCTCCAGGCGGTGTTGAGGGTAAACCCTAACCCACCAGAGGAACGACACCGCGGACTCCTTCAGGCGGTGTTGAGGTTAAACCCTAACCCACCAGAGGAACGACACCGTGGACTCCTCCAGGCGGTGTTGAGGGTAAACCCTAACCCAGCGGAGGAACGAAACCGCGGACTCCTCCAGGCGGTGTTGAGGGTAAACCCTAACCCAGCGGAGGAACGAAACCGTGGACTCCTCCAGGCGCTGTTGAGGGTAAACCCTAACCCAGCGGAGGAACGAAACCGCGGACTCCTCCAGGCGGTGTTGAGGTTAAACCCTAACCCACCAGAGGAACGACACCGCGGACTCCTCCAGGCGGTGTTGAGGGTGAACCCTAACCCAGCGGAGGAACAAAACCGCGGACTCCTCCAGGCGGTGTAGAGGTGAAACCCTAACCCACCGGAGGAACGACACCGCGGACTCCTCCAGGCGGTGTTGAGGGTAAACCCTAACCCACCGGAGGAACAAAACCGAATATAATTTATTCAAGAGATTTGTTAAAAAATGCGGATTCATTCAGTCTTTGAGTGAGTCATTAAATCATTAATTCAACCATTTTCTTTTTTAAATTAGTTACAATTATGAAGTATTTTCTAAATAGACTGAAGCAATCAAAAAGTTTTCAGAACCTCTAATTGTCTAATGTGTTTTTTCTTCAAATCATGGGAGAAGTGTGATCTCTGTTGTGCTCATTAACAAATGCCTCAGTTTATATGTAGCCTGCTGGTTTGTTTATGGTAATCAGCTGCAAATACATTTTACAAAAATAGACAGAATAAATATTTTCCTCCATTTTTTTACAACATTGAAATTGAAACTGGGAATCAATAAGAATCTAAATTAATAAGTGGAATCTATAACATTCAAACAATCCCCAACCAGGGCGATCTCAGCATCACAATTTCTATTTACAGTGTGTTTATACAAGCGTTGACCACTGTAGCCAATCACAATCATATCTGTTAAGCATGTGATCGCAGTGGCCAATCAGAGGTGTTCATGAGAATCCGCTTAACATTGCTGGAAATGGACATGTTTTCTTATTCAACACACAAGCCTTGTAACCATCAAAGTGTAAACACAATATGAATAAGAGATCCACTGTAAAATTAAGACAGTATTTTGTCATTATAATGTGAGTTTCGTGAGAGTGCTTAAGTCTAGTGATTTATAAAGGGCGTCTCTTCTCTCGCTTTTACACATTCACAATCTGAACACTTGTGTAGTTTTTGATGCTGTAATGTTTTTGGATTGACAGCCGTATTCAATTTGAATCGTAAACTTCTATGATTGACGGTGTCTATCCGTCTGTCCATACATGCATTGCATACATAAAAAACAGTTTTTGCTATGATACCAAAATTGTTACAGAAATAATTTTAAATATATATTTTTCATAACAATAAACGTAAAATTGTAACTTTTTAAAACTCTTTCCACTTCAGCAATAATCTGCCGTGCCGTGTTTGAAAAGAGATCAAACTTCAGTCGGTCGCTCAGATTTGCCAGTTTAAGATGGAAATTAAATTTCAGATCTATGCTCAAAAAGTGAATAAATAGATTATAAATATAGCCTAAATATAATTTGGTTTAAAAAAATCCCCTTAACAAAACAAATATGAAATAAAAAACAATCAAACTAAAAGGAGTGTTCACTCCAAATAATAATAATAATTCATTACATTTATATAGCGCTTTTCTTGGCACTCAAAGCGCTTTACATAGAGAGGGGAATCTCCTCAACCACCACCAAATGCAGTGTGGCCTCAACACACCTGTCTGGAGGTTCCTCTAAGAGCTTGATGAGCTGGTTTACAGGTTTAAAACAAGTTAATTAACACTGATTAAACTGCCAAATAGTGTGCCTCATTATTCTGTATTTGACGCCGATGTGTTTGTCTCTGTTGACTTTGCAGCACATTCCTCCTGCGCTTTACACAGACCCCAACGAGATCGCGCAGCATTTACCCCTGAAACTCACCGAGTGTGAGAAGCTGCAGCTCCCGGAGACGCCGGCGGGAACATCACAGTCTCCACTGCGGCGGGAGTGAACACCGGAAGTAAAGACTCGTTCACCCTCGCTATGATCACATCTGAAACTGTCCTGTAGAGTCTCATCCTGTAACTTTCATGAGGTGCAGAATGTCTGCTTTGTAATGTAATGCTTGTTTGATCTGTTTGTCATTGGAGAAGATTTTATTAAAACGCTTTAAATGATTTCACTGGATTGAGAAAATATGATGAATATGAAAATGAAAATTCTCGATGTTATGAGAAATGAAAAAGAATGACTTAAAGCTCGTATTACTAAGGAGGAACACCTAATGCTGAACCCTGTTGGAGAAGCTCGATGAGTTATGCTTTCAGAAGTATTCTCATCCTAGGGCCTCATATACTGATCCTTTTGCCAAAGCGTATACATCCAACGCACATGGCCCCCTTTAGCGTCAATATAACACGCTTTGGTTATGGGTAGGTTTAGACCACTAGGAGGCGCAATATATATCTGCGTCTCATATTGACGCTAAAGGGTGTGTTGGATGCATAGCTGTCAACCCTCCTGTTTTTTCCGGGTTTCTCACGTATTTTAGCTCTTTTCCCGCTGTCTTCCCGTTTTAGTATTTTCCTGTAAAATATCCTGTATTTTTACGCTCTGATTGTGTGAGACGTACAAGCTCGGACAGATTCATCCTCGGATGCAGCGCCGCGCGCACTGTTAAGGCCGGAGACACACTGCCTGCGTGACACTCCAGAAAACGTGTGCATGCTAGAAATAGAACTGACCCCTATTTTTCACGTAGGGGAAAAATGTGTTCAAGTGTGTTGAAAGAGTTTCCACGCAAAAAATAAAATTAAAATAAAAATAGGACATGCTGTTTGTCATTTTGTATACGAATACATATTAATAAATTACATTTTGATATCTGAATTTGTCAAAACCTACACTTTCAAACATCAATGTAATTTTTTAATAATAATAATAATAATTCATTACATTTATATAGCGCTTTTCTCGGCACTCAACATAGAGAGGGGAATCTCCTCAATCACCACCAGTGTGCAGCTCCACCTGGATGATGATGCGACGGCTGCCATACTGCGCCAGAACGCTCACCACACACCAGCTTACTGGTGGAGAGGAGACAGTGATGAAGCCAACTGGTATAGATGGGGATGATTAGGAGGCCATGATGGACAGAGGCCACTGGGCAAATTTGGCCAGGATGCCGGGGTTACACCCCTACTCTTTCCAAAGACATCCTGGGATATTTAATGACCATAGAGAGTCAGGAGTCAGGACCTCGGTTTAACGTCTCATCCGAAGGACGGTGCTCTTTGACAGTATAGTGTCCCCATTACTATACTGGGGCATTAGGACCCACACAGACCACAGGGTGAGCGCCCCCTGCTGGCCTCACTAACACCTCTTCCAGCAGCAACCTGGCTTTCTCAGAAGGTCTCCCATCCAGGTACTAACCAGCCTCAGCCCTGCTTAGCTTCAGTGGGCAACCAGTCTTGGGCTACAGGGTGATAGAGCTGCTGGCATATTTAAACAAATAATAGCTAATATTAATAATAATTATCGATTTTCAAATATTGCCATTATTTTTGCTTATATATAATTCATGTCATTTCTATTTTTTTTTTTACAATCGAGTCCTGGTGCTCGTTATTGAAGGGGATCGTGCTCGTTATTGAAGGGAAGCGCGCTCGTTATTGAAGGGGAGCGTGCTCGTTATTGAAGGGAAGCGCGCTCGTTATTGAAGGGAAGCGCGCTCGTTATTGAAGGGAAGCGCGCTCGTTACTGAAGGGGAGCGCGCTCGTTATTGAAGGGAAGCGCGCTCGTTATTGAAGGGAAGCGCGCTCGTTATTGAAGGGGAGCGCGCTCGTTATTGAAGGGGAGCGCGCTCGTTATTGAAGGGGAGCGTGCTCGTTATTGAAGGGAAGCGCGCTCGTTATTGAAGGGAAGCGCGCTCGTTATTGAAGGGAAGCGCGCTCGTTATTGAAGGGAAGCGCGCTCGTTATTGAAGGGAAGCGCGCTCGTTATTAAAGAGAAGCGCGCTCGTTATTGAAGCGACGCGCTCGTCATTTTTCTGTGGAGGAAATGCATACTAAAACGTATTTGTTGTGGAGAGCGAAGTGCATGGTTGTATAGAGCTCTCTAGATAAGCTACTGTGCATTATAAATGTCAGGAATGTATCTTTATTGACTCATTCTTTTTATAAAGATGATTTAAATGCTGAAATATGTGAGGTTTATCTTTTTATAAAAAGATTATTTGAACGTGGGTATGTTAGATAACAGGACACTCCTTTTAAAATGTGGCTGTCATCTTTAATGTTATTAACTCGGTAAATTGATTTCATTGTTGGCTTGTTGAACAAGATTCTGTGTATAACCGAGATCATTTTTGGTCACTATATTCATGAAATGAACATAATTTTCATAATGATCAACTAAAATCAACTAATTATCTGTTTTTACAGTAGCCAAATATGCAAAGTACAATTTTCTATTAAAAATAATCTCTGATTCTGTCCGTTTCTCTGACATTAAGAGTGACATAGGCCTACAAAAGCAATTTTAGGTCTAAAACAGTTTGGATAGTTATTAATATGAGAGCTGCTAGAAATGATTTAAGAGATAAGTATTGTGTTAAGTATCTCTTGGACCCTTTCACTTTTAAAAACTCTTCCGTGACAAGAATAGTTTAACAAGTCATAACTAAAAGTGTGCCATGCATATAATTCAAGGCAATAACCAGTGTGCTCGAAGGGGGTCTCGCCCAGGGTGTAATTCAGAACCACCACTGCCACTACGAGACCAGTAACTTTCTCCAATGTTTACAGATTAAGCAGGAACCCAGTGCGCCTGAATCTCTCTCTATTTCTGTTTAATTACATGATGGAAAGTCTAAGGCCTTCAAAAGCTGTACAGAAAACCCATCTAATCTGACGCCTATTACACGCCAAACTAAGATTGCTGTGGGGACAAAAAGTAAGACTGTTAATTTAGCACTTTTAAACATCCGATCACTTAAAAATAAATCACTTCTAGTCAACGACTTAATAACCACATACAACCTGGACTTCATGTTTCTGAATGAAACTTGGCTAGAAGACAGCTGTAGTGCAACGGTCCTAAACGAATCATCCCCCCAAACTTACTTATATGTGTGTCTGCAGAGCGGGTAAGAGAGGCGGGGGCTTAGCTGCTCTTTTTAAAGATGTTTATGAATGTAAGCAAAATATCATTTGGGATATTTGCCCTCTTTCGAATATCTGGGTATTGTGTTAAAGGTGCCCCTCGTATTTTACTTATCATTGTTTACAGGCCTCCAAAATACTCTCCAGCCTTTGCTAAGGACTTTACAGAACTGCTATCAACAATTGCCTCTGAGTTTGACTGTTTTGCCATTGCTGGAGATTTTAACATTCATATAGATAATGCAGAAAACAATATGGCAAAAGAAATCAAAAACTGTTTTAAAAACTTTTGATCTGACTCAGCATGTACACGGTCCCACACACAATCGTGGACACACTCTAGATGTACTTATCAGTACGGGTTTAAACATCTCATCGATTGGTATTAAGTTATTATTGTTATCGATTGTTTCTTTGATATATTGATCCGCTAGAGCTGTGTCTGTCGAGAAGAGATGCTTAAATGAAAACACTGGTGTGCCATTTATGAAGGCTATATCTTTAAAACCAAGCATATCTGCCGACTCTGTTGATTTTCTCCTTGATTCTTTTAACTCAAAAGTTAAGAGTGTAATTGATGATATTGCTCCTGTGAAAGTCAGGAAGAATAGTGGCAGACAAAAAGCACCTTGGAGAAACAGTTTACTGTTTCATTATGGTGCCAATTTTTTTGTTACCACCAAATATTTAACATATTCTTGAAGATATCTTTAAGTCTGGTTTGAGACCCAACCTTAGGTTATCCAGGTTATACTCTGGTCTCGGTCTCGACTTGGACTCGGTCTCGACTACAACACTGTTCCAACCCACCTTTCATATGAATCCTGGCAAAGAAAGCTAATGGCAGACGAGCAGATCTGGAGACATCGTCACATCAGCCTGACTCAATGGAAAAGATAAAAAGAGCAGATAAAATACTCCCCTTTTTACATGAATCAGGTTATGGATCTTTCTCAATTTCAACATGAACACAATAGTAGTGATGTGACGTTCGGCACCGAGGCTTCGAAGCTTCTATCAAAGAAACGAAGCATCGCACGTGAAGCACTGTACCGAGCTTGATTCGTTTTGCCATAACCATGTGATCAGTGACGTCCGAAGCTTCGTTTCAACACACAACCACGTGACTGCTTCATATTCTAATTTAAAAATAGCGTAAGCCTCTTGCGCAGGTTTCGAGTGTCATGCGCTTCGGTAGTGAATTGAGACCGAGAATGTCTAATTGAAGAGAATTGGCACTGGCTGGTTACTTCCGGCTTCTGAACTGGCTGCAGTAACGCGTCTCTGTCCATGCGGGGGCGCTTGCGGTCGAGTGCAGAATGAATGGGAGTCAATGGGGTTTCACCCCCAGAAATACACTTTTCTCAGGATGTAATGTTTTGTCAAGTAATTTGAAAGTTGCATTCAAAAGGGACCGCAAAGATAATACACTCAGCTGAAAATTGCATTTTTAAGTTCACTTATCTGTTCTAAAAATCCGTTAAAAAATGTGATGATGTCACACAATAGCAGAATGCTAGCGTACTCCGGCCAACAACAGCCTAACCTGTAAGAAATCGAAAGGACATAAGTACTCGTTCATTCGACTTTTGGCCTATAATCTATATTGAACTTGCGGAATCAACAATAAAATCTATGTTGATTTAATGACAAGCAGGTGAAAGAGACGCATTTAGCCGTTTAGCCCCATAGACTCCCATTCATTCTGCTCTCGCTC